ATGCTTTAAAGGTGAAGGAAATGGTTTATTTAGTGGTGCTAAGAAGGTTAGTTACTTCATGTCTGACACTATTTTCATCACAAAAAGTACGTGCTAAATATGGTATAGTGGAGTTTTTATATAGACGTACGTGCATAAATTCTTCTGAAAAGACTCCTTGTTTTACCTGAGGTGACTCAAGGTTGGAGCTGCGGGTAGAGTGGGTGCTCACAGTCTGACAAAATTCCTTTAGCGAATTTGTTGCATGACATCAAGTGCCTATCAGTGACAATGTCAACGATACTGCCCAATGGGATACCACTCGTCCTACTGACAGTCTTCAGAGTTCTACAAAGTATGACATAGTCCTTTTTAAGCAATCCAGGAAAGAATAAGGGTGAACAGTAAAGAAGAATAGATAAAATACACGAGTTGATAAACTGTAAGAGGAGTGGTTGAGTTATGCCTGAATGCCTTAACTTCTTAATGTAAAAAGTCAAACGAAATATTCTTTTAGAAATCGCTAAGACATGAAGACATTGAAGAATTGCACAGCGTTTACTTGGAAGCAAATTAAATCCGCGCTAAACTCCATGTATAGGTCATTTGGTGTAACTGGACGATTAAAACAATGATAAATTCAAATGAAATTAAGCATTCTGATGGAAAACAAATTCCGTAGCCCAGTGATTCAAGCAGGCCGCCTTTATTACAGCGCCAGTATGAACGTTGTGCACGAATTGATGCATAAATTGCATCCTCATCTTGTTGTTAAGTACTGTTTGAACAGTTAGGATTAGAGCTAAGGTAAGGATTGGGGTTAATGTTTAGGGTAGGTTAATTATTAGAGAGTTTGGGTGTTTTATTACTATTATATTAGATGTATTTTTCTTGTAAATATATAAATAAATAAATGGGATAGTGTTTCATTGTACACATAGATGAAACCGTCTCGACAGCCAGGAAACGTGAATACTGATACCACTCATTGTAATTGGGAAGTATTTTTGAGTTATGTCAGGGTAAAATATTGTCGTTGATGTGTTTCATTATTATTACTTTTATTATTATTATGTGTATTTTTCGCGTAAATAAACGGTATTTTGGTGTAGAATACACGGCAGGTCCTGTAATCCAATGAGTGGTATGCGTTCAGGGTCACTGGTGCGTTCGTACATCGTGGTAGCTATTCTTTACATTTGCCACTGTTTTTTAATGTTGTTATGTGATTTGACTTTTATCTCGTAATCAAATTGTTATCAATATTATTCACATTTAAAAATTTTATTATAATGTCTTATGAGTTGTTCGACAAGTGGTTAAGTAGTAGTATGAGAATTTTTAAGGTGTAAACATAGTTTGGTTTGTAGCGATTTAGCTTTCGTTCCATTCACTCTGTGTTTGTCCGTGTGTGTGTGTGTGTGTGTTGAACAAAAAATATCGGTGATGTTATACGTGTTATTACTAGTGTAACCTAAAAATCTGAGACATTTTAATTCTTATGTGTAAGAATTTATGGTTTTCTAATGATGATGATGATGACGCTACTGTGATGTTCCTGGCCTATATTTGTGTTGTTCCAGATTAATTGTGTTCATTTGATATAACACCACACAGTGAAACAGTATTAATATTATTATTTACTGGATGATATTTCGAACACTTTCTGCTATTGAATTAATTTCGTGGTTGGTGACTGGCAGTAGAATCCAGGATGTGAGTTTCACCCTATTTGCGACTCGTCATTTGGGTGTACCCGCATTCCACAGTGAGTGGTGGTCCTCCCACTGAGCCCCGAACTTAGCACCCATCGTTTCAAATGTCTATATGCTATCCATCAGACCACAAGAACCACCTCTTGAACATAAATAGAAAACACAATGTGAAGCTATACACTAATGTCTACAGAAAACCCCACACATTCACACTGATATATCCATCCCCATGTCAGTGCAACGTCTAAGTGACAGGACAAAACAGCTAAATATAACACCAAAGAAAATTTACGTCAGGAAGTGAGAAAATATGACAGTTAGTAATAACTGATGAATTGATCAAGAGATAAACAGCGAATTATAAGAGTAATAATAGTTAATAGGACACCATGAATGACATGTATACACGGATGACAATACCAAGAATCAGGGATTTAAAGCGTCATAAGTGCTTCCATACAAAAATAGAATCTATGAAACCTTACGTAAGATCCCTAGCAAGGTAGGAATACTAGTAGTATTCAAAAATTCACTTCGAAAAAAACCATGTCGGTTAATCGGTACTGTTTTTTTTCATTGCTTCGCATCCCGAGTGGCTTCAGACTTAAATTCTTGAGGTTTCAGTATCTTTGGTGTTGTTTTTAAGGGGGATGGAGTCGCTAGCCGCACGCCCAATTTTCCCTCTTTTTTGAGCTTATTATCCCCTAGTATGTTTGGGAGTACGAGGGCCGGCAATCGGACCAGTTGCGTGGTTGGCGAGAATTCTACCGCACTCTGAACCACTGACACTCTTAAGGGTTCTTTGCAACCCATTAAATAAAATAAATTACACTATCTAATACACTGCAATAGTTGTTAGGTTAAGTGTAATAGGCTGGAGATAATTAGACTTGCGAAATCTAGACTAGTTAACCCCGATAAAATAAGGAATTTAGAGAAACAAGGATCAGCTATAACACTGTATACAGTTACGCACAGCCAGTAATAAAATCTAATGTAGGGTAGGAGAGATTGCTAACTGAAGTTTTGTTTACTGAATCAAATAAGCTCGCGTTTAATAGGAATAACTCAATACCTTGACATCTGGAACATTCCACTACCCTTAAGACAAATGGAAGAGAAAGTTGAGAACTATAAAAATTAAGTTTCGAAGTTGTATAGAGTAACAACTGATGTGATAATGAACAATAATTTTGTATTTGAAATGTCACCCACTTTGTGATTGCACAACTACCCCACAGTGCGCCCAACTTTTACACATAATAGTATGCCTGTCTGTGTTAGTCGACTAGTTTTTATCGTGCGAATAAATCTGACTACTTTACACTCATCTTTCGTAAATAACAGACTCGGAAACACAACTTAGAACAGATTATTAATTGGTTAGGCCTGGTAAACACTTTATCACTCACTAGAATAATTGATATATATATATATATATATATATATATATATATATATAACCTTTTAACATTTATCCAGTCATATTACTGATAAGTACGTCAACACTTCAAGGTAAACGTTTTGTTGACTTTGTCAAGCTCTTACCCAAACTCCAGAGGCGTGCATTGCTTAACTTAGCTTTTTTATGTAGCAAGTTAGTTACTTTCTTTACATGTTGGTTGGTGCATTGTATTTCATATTCTTTCAACGAATCAAAAGTAAAATGAAAGGTCACTGAAATTCTGTTTTAATAAAGTAAAAATTAAGTCAGAATTTAGTGCTAAATGTGTCACTACGAATAAAAAGATTACAATTCCATCCATGTTACAAGTTATTTCTATTATTTAAAATCCGATTTGTGATTTGCAATTTAACGTCTTAAAAATATCCATTAAAATTTCTTTTTCAAAAGAATCGTTACTGAACAAAGAATATTCTTTTCGATAACCTGCTCTTCATCACGTTCTACAGTTCTATTCATCCATAATAGTGAATGAATGAATGAATTGGTGTTATCAACAACATTTATGTTGTTTAAATAACATCGAATCAATAATGATTATATCAATGGATTACACTTCGATAGCATCAACACAACCATGCACACTGAATATCAGACAGGCAAATTAGGAAAGATGATAATACGAATTCATGAATGAATAGTCCTCACTGAAGGCTGATCAGGGCAGTACTAGTGGCTAGCTGCGCTTGCTTCTTTTTCACACAAAGCATCCGATGTGCTTCTATGGTTTAGTGGTAGAGTGGTCGTCAACCACACTACATGTGGTCCGGGTTCGATTATCGTATGATGGAAGGTTGGTTGGTGATGAGGCTAGCGATTTCATCCCACAGCCAGTGGAACTTTAAAGCTGAAGCTTGAAGCTCTATGTTTCACTCGGAGAACAAAGGAATAAAGAAAAAAATCTGTCGTACTCTATGAGTATAAATTAAATCTATCCAAAGAGGGAACAAGTCGTGTACGCATTATGCATCTTTCAAGTTTTCAACGGCTTTACTGATGTGTGTAAGAATTACATCCGTTTTATGCGATAACTGTCATGTAAAAGTAGACTGCTATAAACTAAGTTTATACCTGCCACTCATTTACTCGGTCCAAATTTTTCTCTTTTCAAAATGAATAAGCATCACGTACTGTATGAGACAGAGAGAGAGAGTAGTGACAACTACACTGTGACCCCGTAGGTAAAGTGAGATTTAAACCATTTTTTGTGTCCTATCGTTTGATATAAGTTTTCCTCTTGACAACTAATTGGTAGAAGTTGGAATTCATAGGCTATTGGATTGAGTACCAGTAGCTGAATGATCTACGAGCTCGCTCGTCTTGTCACCGGAAGATCCTGGGTTCGAGCCACAGCGGGTGCGTTCTGCTAATGAGTCCCCAACTAGGACGAAACAGCTGTCCGATACTCCCTGGTTTTCAGTGTTTCTCTAACTGATATCAAGCTCTTTCCAATGAAAAATATGATATCTGTGAATACATGTGTGTAGTGGTAGCGGTTAATGTTTGCTTAGACAGAGAATATCATTTTGCTAATCCTGTGTAACGCTTCATCTGATTAACAATTTGATTAGATCACCTATTCCAGTGGGGTTTGTTTCATCAAGTTTAATAGAGTAATGTTAGAGATAACAATAACTGTGACATAGCTACTTAATTTCTTATCTTTTTACGGTGTCGATTAATTTTGGCAAAATCATTCTTAAAAATCTAAATGTTTAACAAAATAGATTAGTCTGACATAACTGCATTACTACTTATGTTTTTCTTCCTTGTAATCCTCATAAGAGAGGAATTTTATTCATTTATTTATTTATTTCCTGAAACATCATTTCTATCTATAGACTGTTCAAACTGGTATAACATATGCAGCACAACCAACTCAGGTGAATCGTGCTTTCGGGACAAGAAAAAGTGGTTTTCTGCTTAAAAAATCCGATGGAAAGGTTAGTTGAATTGTTAATCTAATCTAGCCTTGAACCGATTATTATTATTATTATTATTTTGAAGTTCAAAAGCCATAATCTTCGAAATATCATGTGAAGTTCTACCTGAAAAGATTTTTTATCACTTTCTTTTGTTTTTTAACGGTACACGTGTGGATATGTGTATTCTGTGTAATGTTTATGTACATCATACGCCTGCATGTGTTGTATCACTGGCTTGTGTTAGCAATAATTGTCTAAAACTGTATTGCATTGTTAACTTATATGGCAAAGTTAAACTTTAGACACCAAAGTGGCACGAACACACACCCAGTGACCTTGGAGACAGCCATAACATTGAAAGGTACATTTAATCTTCTAACACTCACTCTTATCTTTTTTAAGACTAAATTTAAATGTATTTCATACCCAACCCTAATCAACCTAGAGCCAACTCTAATACTATCTCTCTAATTAGGTTAATATAACCCTAACCTGTCCCTAGCCAAAACCTAACCTAAAACTTATCATAACACTTCATTCAGCATATTTTTTCATGAATATAGTGCCATTTACTTGGTTTCGCTAACTTGTTGACTGAGCACTCCAAGGTGCATTGGTGCGTTCGTGCCTCTTCGGTGCCTAATGTTTAACTTTGCCATTCATGTGCGCTTGTACAACGAATATTGGAGGGTCACAATCGAATAGTACAGAAAATTGATACTGGTGTGTTTGTGTACTATTTGAGAACAAATTGAATTATTATTATTCAGTACAGTGATGTTCATCAGTTGATATCACTTCGCTAACTGCCAAATATCTAAGTCAATTGTTTTCGACAGAAAATTATGTGATATTTATTAAAATTCTGCATTGATTTGCGGGTTTTGATCCATTGCAGTAGATTTTTTCTCTGAATCGATAGAGAATCATTGGAAACCTAGGGATACTGAGCATCTGTTTCTCGTTTTAGTTTAGGACTTTTCAGCAGTGCACATCTATGACATTTGTAACTGAAATAGACATATGCCAGTCTCCATGATCACGATCACATTGTTTTAACTGTTGCATGTGTGTGTGTGTGTTTGTGAGGGGTTTTCGGTCTTCTACCAATGGCCAGTGGAAAGAAAACTGTTTTCACTGTTGAGGTTTCCTAGTTCCAGTTTGGAGAATGGAGTATTAGGTCTTTAGTGCTTTGTTACTGAAATATACTGAAAAAATCACGATGTAAAGAAGAAGAAGAAAATTCCCAAATACTGAATACATCCAGAGACTACTCTGAAAGTATTACGCATGGCAAAACCAATGCCTTATTCAAGAAGCAATGTCACTTAATTTAAGACTGGGTTTTAAAAGCGCTAGGGGGTGGTAAAGCCTAAACATGGGAGTAATCCATGAAGTCTTTGACTATTGGTTTTTGCCACGTAAAAATGTGTAGACTGCTTGGTCAGGATCCTCAGAATATTAATAATCATTGATTGCAGACTGTTGGTAAAACAAATGAAAATCGTCTGCAGTGATGTGAAGTTCTACGCTGATAAGTAAGTCGGTGTTATTACTTCGTAGATATGCTTTATCTGCTTCTTGTTTTGGTCCCTTAACTCTTTTTATGTCGGACAGAGATTGTCACTCACTCGATACTGAACAAGTATAGGTCAAATTGTAGTTGTATACGCTTAAATCAAATTCGTTGTTGTGGGTCTACATGGCGTATTCATATTTATATAAAGACTGCTTTAAAACAAATTATTTCTTCCAGGTGAAACGTGTATGGCAAAGACGTCGTGTACGTATCGCTGACGGAGAATTATGGTTATATCATGCAGATGAAACAAAACCACCTGTGCGTTTGACTTTATTAACCTGCCAGGTGAAATTACCCATGGAAAATGTTGAGAATGATTCCGCATTAAATCATAGTACTATCGGTAATCAACATTCAGCCTGTGAAGGAAAACTGAACTTTGATCTTGTTTCAAGTAAGTTTGTGTTTATTTTTTTGCCGTCTTATTTTTTTTTAAACATTACTGTTCGTCTACTGCAGTTACATTTAAAGTTCAAACTTCAAACGAGTAGTAGTGTGGTGGTGTGATGCAGACAATGGGTTCCAACGGAATATTATCCTCACAGTAAGAATCATTGTATTTGTCGGTGTTAACGTCTGAATACTATTAGATAGTTGGAGGCAATCGGCAGGAAGCCTTGGACCTAGGTTTCGTGCTAGTTGGCACTCTTCAGCAAGACGTTTCTGCAACCTTGAAGGAACTCATTTCCCTTCTAAATACTATTCCCACAGTTCAATACCGTGTTAGCATCAGAATACTATGTATATCTGAACATTCTATTTCATGTCGTTTAATGTAAACCAAAATCACACGCTCACTGATTGGTTAAAGAATATAAACTGTACAAATATATAAACAGCGGTTTGATAACTTGGAGATATACCTTGGCTTCTGTGTCTTGCCTTCTGCTGTTAGAGAAGTAATTCGAACACGTATCGTTGTAATGTGAAGACTGTATTAAGTAGTTGTCTATTGAATCATTCCCGAATGTATTAATGATTTTTTTTAGCTTTCTGACACTTCAACTAGTTTTGTTATAAGGATGGTTCATTGGCTTCAGAGCTCCACTTTGAGCTAATGAGTTTCAGGTTTAAATCCCACTCCACCTAATTCGATCTGGGCAACTTGGTAGTATCATCGGTCCTCCGAAATTAAGTTCTGACTAAACTGTGAATTATAAATGTTTGGTTTCAAGTTTGATCAGTTAGAGGACCATTGAAAACCAGGGGTTACTGGGCAGCTCTTGCGTCCTAGTTTGGGACACTTTGGCATTGCGCATCCGCAACTCCACGAGGTATATCTAATCCAAGACCTTCAGATTATGAAGCCGAACTCACTGATCATTGAGTCATTTGAACCAGAATTCAGTGACACGTTAATTCTAACTTCCGATTTTCTAAATAGTTTGGCGTTTGAAAATTAACTGCAGTTACGATTGTAGTTTACGAGCAAAATGGGTTAGATTTGAGGCAAGGTGTTGATTGGTCCTCCATAGAACGTACGAATACAGACGCTTAACTCACTTACATACAGGATGCTATAAAGGTAACGAGTGAAGCAATAACTTGCAGTTTGAGAGGATGCTTGTCTCATCAGCAAATGCAAATTGTTGTTACATGTTAGTCTTTTTTAGCAGAAGGAGAAAACAGTAATGTTTTTGCCTATATATTCAAAATCCATGTATAAATAAAACACCAAATTAACGTCATTTTTAGTCTGCCTTTTAAGTGAATGGCTTCATCTGATACATATATAATACATGAGGAGATTGATGAATACGGTTAATACTAGTCATCAGTAAACTCTTTTGTACAGTAGGGTCTGAATCCGAGTGATTACTTGTTCCGCTTACACGTGACTGCTTTCTGAATTCTCCTTCATAATCTTGCATTTTCGGTTAGTGTTGAACTGCCTTTGTTGCACCTTGGAAGCTATGTTGCTAATCAACCTAATTGTTTTGGTCAAAGGGTTGAGTTGCCTAACCTTCCCTCTCCTCTGGGCTTATTAGTGGCTAGTAAGTAACCTAGACTAGGTTTATAAGTGTGCGTCAGTCGGGAATCGAAACCGCATCAGCTGCGTGACCGGCCTAGTTTATTAGTTGACTATAAGCCTGGAATAAAGGGAACGTCTAGTGTATGTGTGTGTGTGGTTAGCAGCCCGGTCGTTTAGAAAAAACACCCCCACCGCTAGTAATTCTTTTGTACTTATGAAAAGAGTGACCTGACATAAAATCCATAGATGCGTAGCATGAAATATGTACACGAATAATGAAAAATTAACGCATATTGTTCCTCATTTCAGTTGAACTTCTCTGATAAGTAACTATTACCTTTAATCATGAGTGTAACACAACAGTTCTCAGCTATCCAGATAATTAAGGGACAGATTTAACTTAGCTCCACCTATTTTAGCATGGTTATAACTGTGGATATACTACAGGTTTTTCACATGGTAGTTTAATTTAGGTGTGGTTTAGCAATCAGCCTAAGATGCACTAGTTTGATATAAGGATAAAATTTGGGCACTGTGGTAGAGTATAATTCCAGTATGGATAAAATTTTATTTCGATACAGTCACACAGTGTTGTTATGCAGTAATATTTACGGATGACCACGTTTCGAGCATAATTTATTACTGCTCATTATCATATCAAGGCACTCATATAACTTTCTTGCTTCGTTCATATACATGAGTGAAAACTGATTAGATAATTGAATAAAATCGATATAAGGCTTGTATGAAACAGAAAGGAAGATAAAAAGTACATTCTGAACGAATATAAGTGTTATCAATAAAATACAGTACAATAGGATGGGGAAATAATACGAGTGTTGTTAGTCAAAAAGATGGGGAGTAAGATGTATGTTTATAGTAAAATAAATGATTTGTTAGAATGTTATAATATGAATTAGAACAAGACATATAAGCGAACAATATTGTTTTCAATTAGATCTTCAGGCTTTACTCTAATTTACACAGATTTATGTATAAAAATTTGTAACCAATGACGGTGATTTTGTGGATCAAATAATAATAGTAATAATAATAATGTGGTAAATGTTTTGAACGTAGCTAATAACGATGATTATAATGATAACAAAATATTGATAATAAGGTTTATGCAAGTGGTGATAAGAATAACGAAGGTAGTAATATGTGTATATGTAGACAATTCAATAAATTAGGTCAAATCCTAAAAGTTACGTAATACTAATGGTGAAGTGGACAGATAGTCAGACTTTAAATAAATATCATTAAAACACGAAGAGAATGAAAGAGAAGACAAAGTGGGAGAGTTTTAATTAGATTTTACCTAGACCAAGGCAGAGACAAAGGTAGAACAAACTTCTTTTGTATACAAAGAAGATGATTGTTCTCTCGAATTAATCCCCATGGCCACGGCAACGTGTAAAGGGCGGGTTCGAATTCTTTTCGAAAGGCTCGATGGAACACGACAGATAACTTTGAAGGCATTTCTTCTGTCCACTTGGTGACCGCTATCAATCAAATGAGCCAAAATAGAACTTCTTATAAATTTATATGACCTTTTCCAAACCATGAAGGGAGATGGTCATTAATGCGTTTGTTAAGCTGTCTAGTTGTTTGCCCAATATAGCTCTCTCCACAGGAGCAACTAAATTTATAGATACACATAGATGTGGCACATCTAGGTAGCTTGTCTTTCACTTGAGCAATCATAATTGGTCGGCTGGAAAATGACAAACAAAGGGTGGCGGCAGTATAAGTCCGTTTTATCGCTCTCGATAATCTCAGATGTAAGACTTCGCTAGCCACGTCCCCACTAAATTGCAATTTCATGAACAGTTGTTTCTTTTCAACTTTTGTCAGTTTCTCTTTATTGTACTTGGTGTTCATGTGTCTCCTTACAAATCTACTAGGATAACCCATTTGGACCAGCGTATTTTGGATGTATCCTAACTCATTTTGTAGGGAGTCATTTGTACAGATACGTCTTGCTCTATTCGTAAGGCATCTGACCAAATTGACTTTGTATCGGATTGTTACAAAACTGAGGGAATGCATATTGTCATACAGATGTAGGTTTTCTATAGACATCTCTCTTGAGTGAAGCATCCTCTCTTCTGCTCAATTGGACGTCAAGAAAATGTAGTCTACCATCATGTTCTTCTTCACAAGTAAAGATGAGCGATGGATGTGCATCATTAAATTTTATTAACATTTCATTCTTGTCAGTTTTCACATCAAGGATAATAAACGTATAATCAACATAGCGAAAATAAGAATCAGTTTTATCTATTACTTGTTTCAATGGACCATTTTCAACCTTAGCAATTGAAATACACTTTAACATTATCTATTATCCTCTGATTTGACTAGTAATTTTATACTCCATATCTGTGGTATTTTAGTTGAGTTACTTCTATTGGGCATATGTTGGGTGTAGACTGTATGGTCCAGGATTCAAGAATCAATCCATCTCTGTGTCTCTCCACCTACCTATATTACTTTTTAAAATTTTCATTCTGTCCCACCCGCCCTCTTGTGTGGGGTTGTTTACTTGATATTCATATATTTTGTTTATATACATCATTTTCTCTGCTTCTTAAAATTATTACAGATAGTCGAACGTACAACTTTCAAGCAGAAGATGAACAAGAATATGAAGAGTAAGTATATTATAAGTTTATTTTCCTATTTTTTGTTGTCCTTCGCTTATCTCCTGTTCATCAAATGTTACTACCAAGAGCAATGTGTGTACCTTTTATAGAGTTATTGTTTTTAGTGTCACTGATTGAGTTTCAACACATAGAACCTTTGCACAGAAATACATCAGTTCAAGTTACCACACTCCATTTATGTAGTAGTCATAGATAGAGGCAAGAGAGAAAAAAAATGCCCGGGAGAAAGACCAGTAACATGGAAAACCATGTGATGGTTTAGTAGATATCGGAGATAACAAAGAACAAATGTATGTATCTGTGTCATTGAGAGAACGATTATGAGTCATATCAGCAAAAGTCTTCAACCATTGGTTCTTAGCTTAGCCTCCTGAGGACCCCAACCCCAAGATAGCCTACACCTCTCTCTATACGTGACTGAAACTAGCAGTCAAAGACTTCATGGATTAATGACAGTTTTTTGGTTTGACCACACCTAATTCTTTTCCAATCTAATCCTATGTCGGCTAATATTATCCGTTGGGTAAGGCTGTGCTTCGGCATGCCTAACGATGTGTCTTAGCCATCTCAATCGATTTAGCTTTACAACCCACCCATCGATTGACTAGACCTCCCTACCTAACACTGTCTGACCTTCATATTACTCACTATTAATATACTACTTAACACGAGAGATACAATGCAGGTAGATGTGGTCAACAACACCTGACCTTTTCTTATTTTCCACTTTCAATGCATGCATCATCTTGATGAGCGTTTACTACACGTGTGCCTTTACATGACCATCCTGTCATTTCGAAAATCAGTATGATTGGACACAGTTTTGTTTTTATAGAGTAGAGCAGTCAAAGGTGGTAAACTATGTGAGAAATCTGTTGCTGTGTCATCACTCATTCCTTTCGAATAGCCAACCGTACATTCTTTGTGATTAAAGATGTTTCATAGACCTGGTACGATTTAGAGGGGGGGGATAGACCTCAGTCTTTCTCTCGGGATGTTGTCCTATTTGCTACTTTCATTTGAACGGGGCGGTCTTCATAAACTTGGAGAAGCGAATTCGAACGTCTGGTGGTTATACAGGTGTACTTAAAAGAGCTGGTACCAAACCGATAGGCTCCAGATTTCAAACGGGTCGAATGACATATGTACCTGTTTTGTTAATCGTCAACCATGGGAATGTAACTCCTGGTGCTACCCCACTGCCTTGTGGATCAGACTTCAAGTTAAGGGTTTGGGTAACCCCCCGAGACAACTACCTGCTTCTTCGATCTGGTCGTCCGGGCAGTATCCCAGCCCTCGCAAAAACTATGCGATTTTGTGTGCATCTTTCGGTGCCCATAATGTACCAAGTCTGTCTAATAATAATAATAATCATAGTAATAATAATAGCAAAATGATAAACTGTTTGTAAGTCGTTTCATAAAGAAGTGATTACTTTGTCCTATTTTGTTTCACTTCAGTTTCAAAAACCTCTTCTGCTATTGTTACTGCTTCAGTATAACAAAGCTATAGAAAAAAATATGATTTCCTTACTTCTGAATTTACTCCTCTTTCATACATGTATTTTTTGTAGATGGATAAGTGTGTTGAATAATGCAATGCAAGAAGAATTTAACAAAGCAATGAATGGAGAGTCATCACATACTTCTCAATATGATCTTTCCGATTCACTGAATCTGTCATCTCATCGTGGCAATAGTAACAACAATAATAGTATTACTAATGGCGGCAGTCTAGCTACCGGTATTGATTTAGCCTATTCAACACTGACATGTCAAGGGAATAATCCTGCTATCAATTCTAAGCATGTAAAATCGGACAGTTTCGGTGATAGTCTACCAGGAAGTGAGAATGATTTACTCGATTCCAGGTAACACTGAATATTTGTGAACATATATATACATGCTGAATTTATATATTCCATTGGCCCTTTATCCATGTATAACTGCTTTCTATAAGAGCAATCGATGCGTAGATTAAGGTTGTTAAGTGTCATTTATTGATGTTAAATGGGTTCATAATTAATTCACGAATCTAATTTCTATAAAATTAATGTGTGCGTACATATGTAAAGGAATGGATGAACTGACTAATTTCCTCTGATAACTATTTGCACAAAATGTGCAGTTGTTAGGAGGCACAGAACAATTAGGGAAGGCAAAAAACTTTCTGATAAGTATCCTTTTTGATTATTATTACTTATTCTGAAACAATTTACTCAATGTAGATATCTTAAGTGGAGTCTGTATTCTAATTAATGCTGAACCTATTATTCTCCTGTTATCTAACTTCTCTTAGCACCTACTAACTCACACAGTACAACTCTTCTCAAAAGTATTGTGGTTTTATCGAAAGAAAAAACATTGGCTGACTGGCTTCCCGAGGGCCTTTGCCAGCCATCGTCATCTGTCTTCCAGCAAAGAAAAAGTTTATTTTTTCCTGTATTCTAAAGTTTTCGTAGCAATAGACGGGGGGCTTTAGGCCCTAGGCTCCTTAGGTCCACGCCAAAAGGCACCTCTTTTCTGTGCTTAGGGTCGGCTAATAAGCTAAGCGAGATGATGGATTAGATCATGCTGACAGAGAGAAGATGTAGAAGAGAGAATCACCAAGTTGGCAGAGGAGGCAATGAAGACAAGATTTCAGGTAAAAATCTAAAAAAGAGACAAAAGTGACCACCAAAACATAACGCCAATCACCATCATCAACGGGAAAAATCTAAAAGAAGTCGTCTCTTTTACTGACCCAGGCAGCACCCTTTCACCCACAAGCGATCCAGATGAGGTTGTCGAAAGACACTTCTTCCTTTGTTTATTATAATTAACAGTAGAAACTGCAGGCAACAAAAATTACACACAGTTCAGTGAGTGAAATTACCGAAAAGAGTTTTCACTAAACTACATATTCTCAGAATATATTCTAAAAAACGGATTTTTGATACAAATTTTATAAAGAATAAATTTGTTTTCAACAAATCTCTCACCTGTATTTTTTTGTTCTTACATTCCTATAGTGGTTCGCAAGCTAGTCGGTCACGTGAAAGTCATTTAGACAATGTAGATGCTATTTCAACAGATGCAGTTCATCCTATTGAATCTAAAGGACGTCCATCAAAAGGAGTTATTCAATCTTCATTACGATTTTATGCATCGGGTAATGAAGTCTGCGCAGATTGTAGTCGACCTGGTCAGTGAAAATTATGTTAGTGATGAATGCTGCTCTTTTTTTTGCTTTATGAGCAATATTCGATAATCCGGTACAGACTTTTGTACTGAGAGTTGTGATCCACACCTAATGTCTTAAGACTTATGATAATCATCCAGGTCAGATTACTCTCTGATCCTTGGATGATACATTTCCTGAAGTTTAGAGGGGGGTGCCTAACCCCATCAGTGAACTTTAGAGTTCAAAATAGTTGTGAAAAAGAGTTGAAGAGTTTATCACAAACAGTATTGACTGATTCGATTTGTTTAGCCCGTTTTATCTGGATAGCTGCTCTGAAGTGTAGAGCTGAGAGTACATCTTTCCAACTTTTTTTAAGTCACACGCTTCTATTGAACAAATTAGGAATACATATATATTTTTAGAAATAGATTACATTTGGGCAGATCCGCCTATTACTTATCTGAATTTGGTTCTCATCAACGTGAAACTCTTCAGAATCATGTTTCTAACCGCTATAAGCACCATCTTAGACTGAAAGATACCTTTGGATGCAAAACTCCGCCCGCCGGAACAAGCTCGGTTCACGAAAGGCAAATCATGTACAGACCAAATTGCATATACCACGCATCATCATCATCGAATAGAGCATGTTATGGCAGTCACATCTCTACGACAACTTTCTCGACCTTGAAAAAATCTGCCTTTGACAATGTTGATTGTGAAGTAATTCAGAAATGGCTTCAACACTATTGTTTGCAGTACTCCAAACCTTCATCGACTTTATTCAAAAGCTACACCATGATACCATGGTAAACTTAGCGGAGTCTTTGGAGTGAAGACAGGAGTAAAACAAGGATGCCTAATATCACCGGTGGTATTCCTGATTGTGGTGGCCTGGATCATATGGCACAACGTGAATGGCGGTGGGGGGGTGAGAAAACAGGCATATGCTGAACCAACAAGAAAACTCTAAAAGATGTGAACTTCACGGTTGGTTTATATCTAATGTCACAAAACCTCGGAGATGTACAGGTAAAAAGCAACAAGTTGGCAGAAGAAGCAGTGAGGACGGAACATGAAAACAGTGGTAATCAATAAGAACAAACACCAACCACCGTCAACGGGAAAAATTTGAAGGAGGTTGCCTCTTTCACTCAACTGGCTGTGCAGCATCGTTTCAATTACAGCTGTGAATTCACTTATGAGGAAGTCAAAGGCAGGATCGAAAAAGCACCACACTCCTTCATTAGTCTAAAATCGGTGTAGAAATCTGCTGCACTCAGCATAAGGAATAAGATTCGGATTTCCAACACTAGAGTCAATTCAGTCAGTTCTTCTGTGTAGTTCAGAGAATTGGCACAAGCGTCGTGTAAAGCATTGTTTATGGGCAATCGTTGAGCTAATTAAAAACGACTGCAGAGAATGGAGTAAAATAGATATGTACTGTTGAAGTCCTTTGTTCCACTCGGAACCCAATAGAATAATAATAATAATAATAAATTAATAACCCGTTCAGAACATAATATGGCATGGGATTAATCTCATATAAGCTGTTCTTTTTGTAACCACCTGGTGTGTATACTCTTTTAACAGAAAAATGTACTAGTTAGTTCGATTTGTTTTCATTGAATTATTTCAGTGGGTAAGATTTGATTTTACACTCTACACGTGTATATTTGGGAATAAATCTGTCTGCGTTCCATCTCCCGCGTGAAGTGGTATAATAAGATGAGCAATATTGAGGTTAGGCGTCGAGTGCTAGATAAGGAGGGGAAATCAGTCGACGAGACTGTGAAATTACATCGACTGAGATGGTTAGGACATGTGCTACGTATGCCTAGTCATCGCCTTCCTCGACAATGGGCAATGTTAGCTGATATAGGGCCAGGCTGGAAAAGAGCTAGCGGCGGTCAAACCAAAACATGGCACCAGTCAATGAAATCTACAACAGTTAGTCTAAGGCGGGCACGTAGGAAGGTGTAGACTTCCTGGTTGGGGTCCTCGGGAGGGTAAAAACAATTGGTGACATGGCTCAAAATCGTTCTCAATCGCTGGAGCAGATGCATCCACTCCTTGTGACTTATGATTTCCAATGAAACTATATTGTTCTTTGTTACTACTATTCCTTTGTCTCTCACCTCTGTTTACTGTCTATATTATGCATTTCTCCTACTTTCTTCTCTTGCTTTGAGTGCTACATGGAGTGTGGCGACTTGAACTGCCACACAAATGTGCAAAGTTCTATGTCGAAAACAAACAGACAATCCTGTCGCATAGTTTTTTTCTTAAGTGTAAGAAATTTTTTACTTACTGACTGAATTCCACCAGTTGTCACTTTTGGGACAACATAATCAGACGTGTATATTTAGGCTCCTAGGTGATGCAATGCATAGTTATGTTGATCAGCAGATGAAGGGAGCATGCTGATGTCTCGGGTTATATGGGTGGTTGATTGATAAACATCCAAGGTGTAAATTGACTGTATTATACTGCATGCATCTTCCATTTATTCATTTCCACATGGGTGGCGCGTAAATGTTGATAGTAAAACAAAAAGCAACTTGGCTTCTTTTGATGAAAGATTATTTAATCTATAAGTAGACTGATTCACAAACACTATGTGAGACGTAAACTGCGATGGCCTTTGGTACAGTGATTCAAAACATCTGGATTTCATCATGAGCTGACAGTGGTTAGAGAGCCAGTGGAAAACCTCGGAGTACTGAACAGCCGTTCCGTCCGCCTAGTTTGGAACTCGTCAGGAGTACGCACCCACCGGGGTTCGAACTCCGGACCTTCCGGTTACAAGGCGAGCTCGTAGATCATTCAGCCACTGGCACCCGATCCAATGATCAGCTCATGAATTTCAACTTCTGCCAATTCTCGACGTAGCGCGACCATTGAACCATTGGATTGGATCCCAGTGGCTGAGTGATCTACGAGCTCACCTTGTAACCAGAAGGTCCGGGGTTTGAACCCTTGTGGTGGGTGCGTACCCCTGATGGGTCCCGAACTAGGACGACACATCTGTTTAGTACTCTCAGCTGGTTTTCCAATGATTCTCTAACCGATTTCAGCTCATGATGAAATCCTGTAACGAATCAATCAAATCCCTACAAACCAATACTTGAACATCTGGATTTTATTAGATAAGAATTTTTTTATTCATTAATCACAGATATAGCCTTGGTATTGGTAACGTTTCACTTTCATCATAATTTGTATATTCTAATCTCTTCTTTATCGTTGTTGTTGCTCACTTTGTATAGATCCTGAATGGGTTAGTGTAAATCTAGGCATATTAATATGCTTAGAATGCTGTGGAGCACATAGAGAATTGGGTGTACACTATTCTCGAACCCAATCATTATTAATGGATGAATTATCCACCAATCAGTTATTGGTACGCTTTTTTTAAAAATTGTTATCATTTTTTGTTGATTTACTTGAAACAATTTACCTTAATTTTTTTACTGTTTTTTTTGATTGACGTTTTTCCCTTCTTTTGTTTCCCGTGCTTTGAAGTCCCAGTAGCGGTGGTGTTGTCTTTACGGGGTGTAGATGCTAACTTCATACACCGAAACTTCCCAATCTAACGGCCTTACCACTGGCTAAACTAGATTTAGAAGTGTGTTGGCTGGGAATCGAACCCCGGGCCAAGTTTGGTGTTGTTGGCTAGCATTCTGCTATTGAACTACCACCAATCAATACTTACTTCTATGTCACGTTGATCTAGTTTGCTTGAATCACTGGTGAACCAGTCCTTTGAGGTCACATCACGTCAGAAAGGATTGTAGGATGGCAATCAGGTAAAATGTAATTGTGTTCTTAGAATGACTAATAATTCAGTAATACTGTCGTCTCAGTGTAAGTGGTAGTAGCGGTAGTAGAAGCTAAGAAGGGTCGATCCAAAAATATAAACTTCGACTGACTTCTGCGGTTATGCTTTGTCAACAGTGGGATTCGTTGAAGTGACATGACTTTTAGAAATTCAATCGTTTAAGAGCTCCTACAAGCAGAAATCTGATAGACTATGTGGTCAGACCAAAAAGATACTTTTTATGTTTTAGGTAAATCTAAGGGAAAACATCTTCCACTGTGCATTGTCTCTTCTGCTTCTTCTTTTTCCATCGACTTGCTTACAGATTATGTATCCTAGGGTGTGTCTTGATTGAAATTTACACGCGATTGAACGAATACTCTTGTCTTCTTCCATTTACTCTGAGAGTGGTGTATGCAACAAGCTTCCTTTTTTCGTTAATATAGTATGTCTGAAGTGAAAGTGTTGAAAGTGCATCCCGTTAACTCTAATGCATTGTAAGCCATACACCAAGAAATTTTCTTCATTATTGGTCTTTCTTAGTGTGTCAATTGCTTCCATCACACCAGCTGCTTGGCTTTTTTTTTCACTGATCAGCGTTATCGTTTCGTGGTTTCGTTAAAAAATATGCATCCAGTTAGTGAACCTCAGCATCTGACTTCTCTAATCGTGACAGTTCAGTAGGTTAAATAGAAATTAACTTCAACATATATGATAATTCCCTTTCCTACAATACGTTTAACATATATTTTTTTTTAATAATAATAATTTACTTTATTCCAAAAACAGTACTTGTGATACAGAATGGAATTTTCAGCATTAATCACAATATTGCATCTAATTTCCTCAAATTATAAATAAAATTAATCACAAAGAAAATTTTTCTACATTTACAATACGGTTAATATAAAAATAAATAAATAAAAAACATGCAGCATATAAAATGGAAATAATAATAATGATAGCAGCTAAGGTAATGATAATAATAATAATAATACAAGTGAAAATTGCCGTCGGCTTGTTTCACACAGTATTGTCGATGCGGTATACGAATCCTTGCATGATTAAAAATATTGAATATGATGTTCTCTTTACATGATATGGTGAGGGGAAAAACAAAAATTACAGCAGTCATAGAGATAAGTTGGTGTTTGCAGTTATGAAAGTGAGAACAAGAAGCAACAGGACCATAAGTACAATAGAAATAATAAAAGTAAAACTTGAAGGTATATAAGGATGGATGGAGAAGATTGTTTATTTACTAGATGAAAAAAGGTTAGTCAATTCTTGCCTGACGCTATTTTCATCACATAAAATACGTGCCAAGTATGGTTTCATAGAATTTTGATACTTAGACGTGCGAGCATACAGTTTTCTGAAGTTACTTCTCGTTCTACCTGAGGAGATGCAAGGTGAAAGCTGAGGGTGAAGTGGATGCTCCAAGTCAGACAAAATCCCTTTGGCAAATATACTGCACGAAGTCAAATGCCTATCGACAACGACGTTAACTATGTAGTCCACTGGGACACCACTCACTCTGCTGACAGTCTTCAGCATTCTATGAATTGTGACAAAGTCCCTTTTAAGCAAACCAGGAAAGAATAAGGGTGAACAATAAAGAAGAATAGGTAGGATGCAAGAGTTTATAAACTGTAAGAGGAGGGGTTGAGTTATACCCCAGTGCCTTAACTTCTTAATGTAAAATGTCAGGCGGAATATTTTACTGGAGATCGCTGAGACATGGGAAGACCAGGAGAGATCAGAAGAGAGAATAAGTCCAAGATACTTAATTTCTGATTTAATTCCTGTATCATTGTCATCAATCTTACAACTGTCATAAGAATCGACGGCTTCTTTTAACTGCCGTTTACACCTTAAGCTGAAATTAACAGTTTGACATTTAGAAGGATTCAGTTTAAGACCGTTAGACTCAGACCATTTACTGACTTCCGACAGAAAGCTATTTATTTTGGTACAATCTAGCTGGGAGTTAACAGCCATTGAAACAGTTAAATCATCAGCGTACTTCACAAAATTTATTTCATCGGACTGAGGCAAGTCATGTAAGAAGAAAGAAAAAAGAAAAGGAGAAAGGACAGCGCCTTGAGGGACACCAGCTTCAGTAGGTAATGAAGTGGAAGACTTCCCTTTATATACGGTGTACTGCTTTCTTCCTGAGAAATAAGAGTGTAACCAGTTAACAGCCCAACATTCTGTTTGACTTACAGCAAGTTTATTTAACAAGATGTCCCTAGGGACCGAGTCAAAAGCAGATGTATAGTCTAGGAAGGCACAACGGACAAATTTGGCCCCTTTGTCTAGACTGGAAGCAATGTTATGATATAAGACGGCAGCTGCATCTAAAGTGCTTCTACTGTGCTTATAAGCAAACTGTTTTGGGTCATTAAAGGATTTAAGAGAGGGTGCAAGACTAAGTAAAAGTAGTTTCTCCATAGTTTTCAAAAAAGGAGAGGTAATAGCAATGGGTCTAAATTTGACACATGCTCCAGTAGACGATTTAGGTATGGGTACAACTTTAATGTCTTTCCAAACAGCAGGCACAATATTACTGGAAAAAGATTTGTTAAACAGATCAGTGAGAGGGTAACATAGAATATCAGAACATTTTTTGAAAATAATACTAGGTACATGATCTGGACCTAAGCTCTGGGAAGGGTTCAGAGACTTGAGGCACTTTTGAACATCATTTGTGTTAAAACCTGGAAAGGGGCTATTATTAACACTAGTGATACTGGGAAGCATGGAATTTGAGGGGGAATAAATAAAAGATTTATTAAGAGTACTTACATCAGAAGAATACGGAATATTGTTAATCTGCTTACCACCAGTGATTTCCTTAAATAGTTCCCATATATTTGAAGCATTTTTGCAGGATATGAATTTCTGGCTATATATAACATTCAATCTCTGCATTTCAGACTTGATAAGGAAGTTAGTTCTTTTTACGCCACTTTTATCTTTCATTTTATATAGCTTTTCCTTCTCTCTACGAAGCTTTTTAAGTTGAGGGGAGGAGAAACGGTCGAATTTGACGAATAAAGTTTCTTTTGGGCAGCAGACTTCAAAACAGAATTTCAGATAAGACGTAATATTAGAGATTGTGTCATCAAGTGAAACATCATTAAACAGATCCCATCTTGTGTCACTGAGCATGCTTCTAAGATGTTGTACATTCTCATTTGAGTAACATCTGTGAACAACTTTCTTGGACAAGTTAGAGAAGGCTTTTTTGTGTAACTTTGCGTAAACTTTAGGTAGAACTCGTACAATACAGTGGTCAGAGTTTGAGAGTGGAGCTCTTTTACGAGCTTCGTATATTCCAGAATCATTTATGAATACTAAATCAAGCGAAGTATCTTGTCGAGTTGGGAAGTTAACCACATATTCATGACCCAGCAATGTAATAAAACTGTAGTCACTGGCGTTGAAGTCACCAGTTACTACAGACAAGGCGTTACCAAACGAAGAAGCAGCAAAAATAGTGAATTCGTCGGCAAAGATCGATAGTTCTGAGGGACTGCAAGAAGGTGTGACATAGATATTTGTGACAAAAATGCAGTTATACTTAGATAAGTGTTTAGGTCGGCATTTAATAGTTATACAATCAATATTGTCATTTGAGAATTTGAAGCAGACGTTGTTGGCAGTAGACCACTGAGAATTAATAAAAGTGGCCACACCTCCACCTCTCTTCTTCTTTGAGCTACATCGGTCTTGTCTGTACATTGTAAAATCAGGTAAAGAGACCAAATTATCGTCATATGAATCGTGCAGCCAAGTTTCTTGAAGAGTAATTACAGCAGTGTTACAATATACATTTGAGTATAATAGAGAATGCAAATAATTAATCTTGTTTGGTAGAGATCTGCAATTTGTGCTCATAATCACAGGAACAGTCATCAAATGCATCGGAGTACGCTTTAAAGCTCGTTGCCATCCACCATGAGGCTTTTTCTTAAGTTTGTTAGAAACGAGTAAATTAGCCGGTTGGAAACTTTTTAAATAACCGCGAGAGTAACCAATGCGATTAGTACACATAATTGAATGATTAAAATAAAATAAATACGAGGAAATAGATGCAATATATAGGATGGAAATTTTGGTAGCCCAAGGTTTAAGCAGGCCGCCAGATATATATATATATTTTCAATATTCTAAAAGACTGATTACTGAACAAAGAATATTCTTTTCGATAACCTGCTCTTCATCAGGTTCTACAGTTATGTATCTATAATAATGAAAGAACTAGGGTTATTAACAACATTAATGTTTGGATAACATTCACCCACTTCCTTACACATTGGAACATATTTATTATTCAAACATAAACATGGTACATTATAGGCACCAGTAGATGCGCGTCTCAAAAAATTTCACTTTTTGCGAGAGCTGGGATACTGTACGGACGCCCAAACCGATGCAAATGGTTACTCTCAAATGGGATGCCTAAGTCTAATCCACAAGGCAGTAAAGCAGCATCAGAATCTAGTTCTTGTGATTGTTGGTGACTAAAACAGGTGTATACACCATTCGGTCCTTTTATATTCTAGAGCTCTTATACACCACAGGTTTAAAATCAGGATTTGCAGCTCCCCTATACAGACAGAACTACATGTCGATCAGTCCAGTTGTAAGCATCAGACGTTCGTTTTCCCCCGTTTCACTTTTGAAAACGAACACTCCATCCGCGTGAAGGCAGTGAATAGAACTTACCTGCTTGGCGAAGGGTACGAACTCGTGGCCACACAACAGCATGTTGAGAGGTATACCGAAGTTCACCCACCCTCGACCGTAACAGGTCTTTTATGGGGTCATCGTAAGTGTCTTACACTCTAATGCATCAAGTGATAATTAATATCAGTAATATTGATTGGTTTGCTTTTTCTCTGTATTTTTGATAATATTCTTTTTTTTCACAGTTACCTCGATTTATCGGGAACCAATTGTTCAACAGTGTTTTCGAATCTAGTCTACCAGCAGAAGTTAAACCGAATGCTACAGATGCTGTAACGTAAGCAGTCTTTCGTCTATGTGTGTGCATGTAGATAATGTATATATCGTTTAAATTTATTTTTGCTAATTGAACCATCACCTTACGATAACAAGTACTAGAGACATGGGTACTTAAATAAGCTGTGTCAAACCATGCTGATGACAAAATATTTTCCTTTGGATTGACTGCAATATGAACACTTTTGCTCTATGTGTTTTTCTGATAATCTCCTTCTTTTCACCATCATACTTTAAATATTTAACCCAAAAATTATTTAAAGCTTTTTTCCAAAGATTATTTGCTAATTGACTAGTTAGTTTGCTTAGAAGTTTTGTCTGTTCCAATTAGTGAGTACCATAAGATGTTACTTTTACTAGAATTAAACCACCACATCTATTGAAGTATTCTAAACCTGATGTGGCCGAGGGTGGTTAGACTGGTCTTCTTCTCGAAATGCTGTCATGTGGCCACGCATTTAAGGCCTCTGCCGGCCAGATAAGTCCTGTCCACTGCTTTCACGCCACAGAGGTTTCTCACGAAAGTGGAAGGGTGAATACAAATGTCCGTCGGTTACATTTGGACTAGTGGGAAAGATTAATGAGGCATAACTTAATGAAGACCTTTGAAAATTTACAGAATTTCGAAAATGAATACATCTGTTCCTTGTCGCCAAGAAGAATCTCGTTGAGTTGTGTAGACCTTCTTATTGAACTGAGATAAACAGTCAATGTCTTCACGGACTAATACTTTGTTTTCGCTCAACTATCCCCTAAAATTTTTAATAACAAAGCTTTACTTCAGACAACATAGCTTGTCGAAGAAGGCGGTGGCCTAGCCTGCGTAGCTTATGTTCCAGTCGCCTTAATCGATGGCTAGTGGAGTTCATTTATGAGGAGTTTGTTTGTAGGAATTTAATTGATATAAAGATTGATCACCGCCTGACTTCAGTTAGTGAGTCACTGTAAACCAAGGCGTATTGGACAGTTGTTACATCCTTTGTTTAGTACTCCTCACTAGTACGCACTCATGATCCCACCAAAAATCAACCCAGGACCTTCAGGTTACAAGGGGAGCTCTTAAACCATTCACTCACTGGAATGAAATCCAGTGACCTATCAATTCTAACTTTTGCTGATTCGTGGTATATAGTGCAACCGCCAGTCAGTCAATGCCATTAGCTTAGGAGTCCCACACAAGGAGGAAGTAGCTATCCAGCCCTCCTTAGTTTTCCATGGTTCTCTAACTGAAATCAGTCGACTTTGTCGACGGGCAGTGTTATGTGACGTAGGATCAGTTTAGAAAAGAGAAAGCTACTGGGGGTCAAAACCAAAACATAGAATCAGTCCATGAAATCTTTAACAATTAGTATAAGCCACGTTGGGAGGTGCTTAGGATAGTGACTGGAGACAATTCGTAATATTGCTCAAAATCTTTCTCAATGACAGTGCAGATGCATTCACTCTTTATAATTTGTCGTATCCAGTAAAACTCCGTTGTTGCTACATTTTTCTATTCTTTTTCTCTCACACATATGTTTATTAATTGTCTTTTGAACGTCCCTTTACTATCTTCTCTTGCTTTGTGTGCTAAATGGAGTGTGACAACTCGAAATGGTGCACTTCAATGCAAAGTCATATATAGAAACCAGTCAGTCAATCAGTCAGCTGAAGTAAGATCATGATCAAATTTGAGTTCATTTACGAATTTATAATCTCCCTCTGATATGTTGCTTCACTTTCACAGCCGTCATCTATGAACACTTTTATCTTATTTTAGCCAATAAAGCTCCTTTCGAGTACTTCATTACAATTTCCTTACTCATGTTGTTTAATTTATGATGTATAGCTTCACTGTAAACTATAATGTACTCATTCTTTTCAATTTATTCCACTTGAATTATTTGATTTTATTTTTTTACAGTGATGCTGATGGAATGACTCAAAGACGTGCATTTATCAAATCAAAATATGTTGATCGACGTTTCATAACAAAAACTACATCGAATTTATTATTGGATAATGATATTGGCAGTAATAATATGAAATTAGATGATATGAATACTAGTTCAACTGCATCTGTTGTTACCACAACACGTGATCCAGTTTCACAACGATTCTTAAGACGAGATTTGTTAAGAGCAGTGAAAACTGGAGATCTGCCTTTATTAATACAAGTAAGCCATGACATTTTCAACTGGATCTTTTATTTGATGTGATTCAGTGTTAGTGCTCATCATCTTTCCTTGCTTTATCGTCCCTCCGGGGAGGTGTGTGGTAGCGGAGGGGTCTAGAATCTAAAACATACAACATAGGTTGGTAATTCGTTAAACTGTTTTCTGTGTCTCACGAATACAACTACTAATCAGTTGATATTATTATCAAAGCAAATGGCTACAGTTCATATTAATTTTTCAAAAGAGTGGTTACTGAACAAAGAATATTCTTTTCGATAACCTGCCCTTCATCAAGTTCTACAGCTATACGCATCCATAATAATGAATGAATTGGTGTCATCAACAACAATAATGTTGTTTAAATGACATCGAATCAATAATGATCATATCAATGGATTACACTTCGATAGCATCAACATAACAATAAACACTGAATATCAGACAGGCAAATTAGGAAGGATGATAATACGAATTCATGAATGTATAGTCCCCACTGAAGGCTGATCAGGGCAGTACTAGTAGTGGCTAGCTGCCCTTGCTTCTTTTTCACACAGGGCACAGGTCGTTTCACGCGAATCGCGATAGCCTCTACTGTTTGGAGTATGCAGAAAAGGATTGTTCTACTTCTGTGAATAAGAAGCCTTTATATACACGACTGCAATTCAGGAGTGACGCACCTAGTGAAATAATTACTAACAAGTTAAGAAAGTCTTATCAAAGACCTTTGAATGCTGGTAAACTAGAAGTTATTTTTTCTAAACGACCGATGGTGATTCCGCGATTGAAAGATAAAGTACCTAGACTAGCCACTTCTAATTGTATCTACCAATTCAACTGCGCTTGTGGTGGGGCGAGTTCTGTTGACCTTATTCACAGAAGTAGAACAATCCTTTTCTGCGTACTCCAAACAGTAGAGGCTATCGCGATTCGCGTGAAACGACCTGTGCCCTGTGTGAAAAAGAAGCAAGGGCAGCTAGCCACTACTAGTACTGCCCTGATCAGCCTTCAGTGGGGACTATACATTCATGAATTCGTATTATCATCCTTCCTAATTTGCCTGTCTGATATTCAGTGTTTATTGTTATGTTGATGCTATCGAAGTGTAATCCATTGATATGATCATTATTGATTCGATGTCATTTAAACAACATTATTGTTGTTGATGACACCAATTCATTCATTATTATGGATGCGTATAGCTGTAGAACTTGATGAAGGGCAGGTTATCGAAAAGAATATTCTTTGTTCAGTAACCATTCTCTTGAAAAATCATAATGGGCATTTTTCGTATTAATTTATTTGTGGGATATATCTCAAAAAGAAGCAGTACTATTTACTGGATGATATTTCGAACATAATTTATTGATCCTTAAGCATATCATTTCTAAGTACACAACTTGGAAACTTGATTTTTACAGTTTTCATCCCTCTTTCCCATTTGTCATGAGAGTAGAAGATTTTTCCAAATATCTGGTAGAGGTTTTGAGATATTGTTTTTGCACATGATCTCAGTTGATTCGGTACAACAAAACTCCCGTTGTCAATCTCTCTCTCTCTACACCCTGTAACATTAAATTTTAATAATGTCACTTTGTCCCATCCTATTGACTTCGTCTTCTTATAATGCTGTGCGTCTGAGCGTTTTTCTAGATTTTATTAGGTTCAATACGTCAACTCAACAATAGGTACTGTTCAGTTCGCTTGTTAGTCGGAAAGTCATAAAACGAAAATAGAGCAGGAAGTTAGTGTTTACAGAGAACCCACATGTTCAGATCGATTTACTGATCGATATTCGGTTCATCCTACCCGATGTCAGTGAAAATACCATTTATGAAATCTCTAAGTAATAGGGTATAAAAAAAAGACCTAAATAGTACCGAAGAAAATCTGTGTCAGGAAATAAGGGATAAAAAAGCTTAAGCAGTTGGTAAACCACCCTGATAAATTAATCAAGAAGTGTATAGGTAAGTGTAGGAGCAGTCATAATAAGGATAACATAAATGACAAATATGCTCAGTTGACAATACCCAGAATAGGGTATTTAGAACGTTGGCATTACTGCTTTACAAAAACACAACTTCTGGGACCGTGCGTGTGCAAATTATCCTAATTCCCTAAATTTGCGATACCTCGGAATCTGTTGTCCGTTGGAAAAAATCATCGTTTCATTTAATCACAACAATTTCAATTTATTTCATTTGTAGGTATACGCTGAGCGATTAGATTTAATGACCCCATTTCAACCAGAAGACGATGACTCCACTCCACTGTTGGCGGGAACAACAGCTTTACACATAGCGATAGAGACAACAAATAAATTTTTACGTCAAAAATCTGATATTAGTTTTTCGTGTTTATCTGGTGAAACATCATGGAACGACAGTGATGATATTCACGAACAGCAAGTGAAACCACCTCATTGTAATCTACCGTTGGTTGAATTCATTATACAAAATGCTTTACCGTAAGTTGTGATTTTTCACCTATCTTTTTTTTAAATATGTAAATATTCTGCTGTTTATCAGGGTAATTTTAAATCTTACTTTCCACTTGTTATTGTAGTCATAAAACTGTTTCATTTTAGATAAGTTTATTTTAATTATCACACAGTGATGATGCAGTATTAACGACTGGATGACAAGGTTTCGAGCGTAAAGTATTATTATTATTATATTATATTATCGTTTCCTTTAATTCCTAGAGGAACATTGGGCTTCAGCCGTGCGTCTCCATTGCGTTTGGCTCTCTGCTAGAGTCTTAATCTGGCTCCAAGTCTGCCCACACGTTTTCATCTCCTCTTCACATGACCTCCTCCAAGTCACCCTTGCACTGACGACCAACTCGCCGCTTCCCACTCGGCCGGGTTCCACTCGAGCGATGGCTTGTCTAGTGATGTCACTTGATGGTTTCCTCAGAGTATGGCCAGTCCATCTCCATTTCTTCCTGCCTATTTGTTTCACAATCGGTTCCTGCTGTGTTGGTTCGCTCATTTCCAGAGATCTCTGTTGCTGATCTTTTCTGGCCAACCATCTGATTTTGAGCAAAGTATTGAGCGAAGACAACTGTTAATGAAGGTCTGTAGTTTGTTTGAGATGCTCTTTATGACGCGCTGGCCAAGTCTCTGATCCGTATAGTAGCACTGACTTCATATTGGAGTTGAAAATCCGGATCTTATTTTTGATGCAGAGTGCTGTTGACCTCCACACAGACTTGAGAGTAGTGGAAGCTTGTCTTGCTTTTCCGATTCTTGCTTTGATATCCTCGTCAGTTCCGTCCGCCTGTAGTTGAAACGATGCTTCCCAGGTCGGTAAAAGGGGGGGAGCAACCCACAAGGTCGCTTCTCTCTAAACTATATTTTAATGTAATAATCTCCTTCTCAGGCGTGAGGCTAGCAACCCCACCCTGTAAATAAAGTTGCTACAGAAACTTCAGCATGATGAATCTCCTCGCGTAAAGTACTGCTCATAATCATATCAGTTTTGGTCACACGGTTTCAGAATTTGTCTTATATATATATATATATATATTCTTTCTCTCTCTCTCCGAATCCTCTTTGTTGTTTTTTGCCACTTTCCATGTCTCCGCGGTATAGATGGCGTTGCGTCATTCCGATTTCACGTGTGCAGTGTTGAATCGATAAACAAGTCTTCACAATATGACCAGTGTCCAATAGACGAGGTGCAGTCGTATTGTTGAGTGCTTGTGAGTCCTTTACTCGTAGGTTATTGGATATGCTTGAATATCAGTCTGATACTCCCTAGCGACTGACCCTACTCAGGTAGGTAGTTACCTGGGTTCTAGTGAGAAGTTGTGACCGGTCGTGTACAGCAGGTCAGGTATGAGGACAAATACTCGCCGATGGCATTGACTAGTGGTCGCTCTATATCGTGTATTGGCAGAAGTTGGAATTCATGGTCTAGCCATTGGATTAGGTCCCAGTGGTTTAATGGTCTATAAGCTCGCTCGCCTTGTAACCTGAAGCGCCTGGTTTCGAACCCTGGCAGTGGGGTGGGTGCTTACCGATGAAGAGTCCCGAGCTAGAGCAAAATAGCTGTTTAGTACTCCCATCTGGTTTTCCAATGATTCTCTAACTGATGTCAGCTCATGCTGAGATCCTGCAATCAATCAAATCCATACAAACCAACACTTGAATATTGGGTATGTGTTCAAACATGTGGATAATATCACCTCTCTTTGTTCTTCCAATGTATGTGCTTCGACATGCCTATGCAAGTTGGTAGATATGTGGTGAGAGCTGGCTGCTAGCCAAAGTTGGTAGACAGTAATTGACATCAATGTTTTTAAGTCCCCAATATTGGTGGTGAGAAAATGAGAACAAAGGCTTTGCGTAGGTGGATACAGTTAGCTTATGGATTATCTGACACAACCACAAAGAGATGCAAGGTTAACTTTCTGTGAGAAACGGCCAATCAAAAGACTGTATTTTCTACTAACAATAATCTACAATAATGTACATTAAAATCTATAAATATGTGTTGATTTTACTTAATAAACGATCTGTTGCCTGGCCCTTGTCTTCTGTTGTTACAGATATAGCTGGAGATATTATTAGGTAGGAGTTTGTCTACTTTTGACTGTCTTCAGCAACTATTTGTTTGATGCACACGAATAAGCTTGGTGGCTGAATATGCTCTTTATAGTGCAAAAATCAGTCTGTATCTTACTCTACTAACGATATCATCACCTTTTGAAGGCTAGCTGTCAAAAGTCATGTTTTCTCTCCCTTGTGCTACAGTTGACCTTTTCCACAGTACATTTTTCGTGTTTGTCTTCAAGAGTAACTCTTCTTCGACCCTTTCCTCTAAGTAAAGCTTTCTTTTACACGATCAATGTTCTCAGCAATCCCTTTCTGTAACTTATAGGACGGAAGCTTTTGTAGTTCAATGGGCAAGTTCAGATGAATTGCCCCTCCAGGTCTCTTTTCCCCGTGAACATACCTTACGATTTTTCTGTCTGTGTGTCATTCTTGCCTTATCCAAGTATTGGTTACTAATATCTTCAGTAGTTTAAGCATAGATATTAGGCGACACTATGGTGGAATGTAACTGCTTAGTGAATCAGTTTGACAGCCAACAGTAATATTACAGTACTATTACTACTGTTAACCAGAAGTTTTCAAATTTATTATTAGGGCTGTTCATGTAGCCTTATTGCTCATTCTTTTATTTTCATTGTATTAATAATAATGTAGTATTTCCTCCGATATTGTTACTATGTCATCTACTGTATGCATAACTCTGTCTACCGCCGCCGCATGTGCGTCGGTGGCACAGTGGTTAGGACTCTCGCCGACCATGCACATGGTCCAGGGTTCGATCCCCTGCCGACGCACACCCGATATCTATGGTCGGCCTGTAAATTTGGGCTACCGATATCCATGCTGAAAATTCCATACTTGTACTGAAAATACGGTGTGGCATCAAGCTGTAATCGAAATCGAAATAGATGAAAATAAGAGTTATTTGTTTTGTTGTGTTCTGCTGTCTTCGTTTAAAATAAAAACTACTTCAGTTCAACTTTAATCTCAATTAGTTATTGAATCAAACAATATGATGAACTTGTTTTCAAGATGAAAAGAATAACCAACATTCTGAAGATGATGACGATCGGTTCTTTATGGTCTGGTCTTCAACAGTGAATCATTTTCGGCTTTTTCGCCTTGTTCTCTTTATTGCCTAGATAATGATCTGAACCCAGTATGCAAATATGTATATGTACACACACACATCAATTTATACACAAGGCTGTTTTTACCTACTTGGTTACTTATTTTGAAGTGCACTAACACATTTGGCCAACATTCGCGTTATGCATTGTGGTTGTTGACTAATCAATAATTCTTCAAAAATGCCTTGTTGGTGTATACATTATTTTCTCATGGCATATATTAAATAAAAATACACCTGGTCCGTTGTTTGTGTGTGTGTGTGTGTCTATTGCATATATAAATAAATAAAAAATAATCAAATGTTTTTAATGCATTTTAATCAGTTTTGGTTATTTTTCACTTCGATGGTAAAATAAAAAACGAATAGGAATTGTAGTGATCTGTGAGTCGATTCAAACTGTAGTACAATTTATTCAGACTACTACTACTTCGTTCATTTGACTGACTGACTGACTGGTTGAGGGAGTTTCAAGGTAGAACTTTGCACAGAAGTAAGTGCACCACTTTTAGGCTGCCACACTCCATGCATGCACCACACAAGGGTAGAGAGAAAAAAAAACCCAGCGAATTAAAGGAACTACGATAAGCAGCAATGTACGGCAGAAAGAATCATTCATGGACCTGAGAGATTACAAAGAGAGTGAATGCATCTCCACTATTGAGGATGATTTTGAGCCACGTCACCAATAGCTTCTACCCAGCCTCAACGGGTTGATCTCTGACGAAATCTCAGCACGAATACAGAGGGCTAGGTTCGCATATGCCAGTTTACGCTGTCTCTGGCGTAGACGTGATATCCGACTATCGACCAAAGGGCGTGTGTACTGCTCAACAGTCCGCTCCGTCCTCCTTTATGGCTGTGAGACCTGGCCATTGAGAGCGGAAGACATGAAAGGATTAGCTGTCTTCGATCATAGGTGTCTGCGTGAAGTGGTATGATAAGGTGAGCAATATTGAGGTTAGGCGTCGAGTGCTAGGTAAGGCGGGGAAATCAGTCGACGAGACTGTGAAATTACATCGACTGAGATGGGTGGGACATGTGTTACGTATGCCTAGTCATCGCCTTCCTCGAAGGGCAATGTTAGCTGATATAGGGCCAGGCTGGAAAAGAGCTAGCGGCGGTCAAACGAAAACATGGCACTAATCAATGAAATCCACAACAGTTAGCTTAAGCCACGTAGGAAGATTTAGACTTCCTGGTTGGGGTCCTCGGGACGGTAAAAACCAATGGTTGGAAACAATTGGTGACATGGCTCAAAATCGTTCTCAATGGCTGGTGCAGATGCATCCACTCCTTGTGACTCATGATTTCCAATGAAACTGTTTTGTTCTCCGTTATTACTATACCTTTGTCTCACGCCTCTGTATACTGTCTATATTATGCATTTCTTCTACTTTCTTCTCTTGCTTTGTGTGCTACATGAAGTGTGGCGACTTGAACTGCCGCACATATGTGCAAAGTTCTATGTCGAAAACCGACCGACCGACCCAGCCAATAGTTCTTACCATCCTGAGGATTCCAACCTGCTAGTCTGTGCCTCACAACATCACACAAACCAACAGTCAAAGACTTTATGCATTGATATCAAGTTTTAGTTTGACCATCCTGAACTCTTTTCCATCCAACCCAACCGTATGTCAGCTAACATTGCTCGGCATGCGCAACATGTGTAACCTAGTCATCTCAATCAATGTATAGCCTCATAACCCCATCAAATGACTTGTTCTCTTTATCTGGTACTCTATCCCTAGCCCCCAATAATGCTCACCATATTACACCACTTCATACGGGAAATAGAATGCAAACATCTGTAGTCAAAGACAGCTAACCTTTTTCATATCTTCCATTTTCAATTGTCATTTCTCACAGCTCTAAAGAAGAATAGAGCGAAATTTTGTGCAATATGCATGTCCTTTGATCGGTAGCCGAATTTTGGTAAATGCCAAACGAGCCTTTTAATATTTGTGCTAAGATTTCGTCAGCAATCAATCCATTAGGTGGGATTCAACTTCTCAAATAAGTGAGAGTGGTCAACATGCTCTGCCGTTTCACTCTCTATTTTTTTAGCTAGGAGTCGATTTAGTCGAGTCGTGTAGCTTCGTCTTACAATTGACAGAAGCTAATCGCATATCAAACATTCGAATATTTCTGCTCAGAGCGTTCCGAAGACTCTGAATTTTGTCAGTGTCTTCACCTAGGATGACAATATCATTCACATACTCTAAGTTGTTAACGCTGTTCTCTGGTCAATCTGGTCAATCCCTGAGTCACTGAAGTCAGTTAGGGTCCGTGATGAAATTTTAAAAAAATGGAGACATTGATCATCCCCGACTGACACCACTAACTGTCATCATTTCATATGACAACTCTCCATAATCTCTTACACAGCTGTGTGACTTCGAGTAAAGTGTATTGATTAGTGTAATAAAACTTCATGGCACTCCTTCTAAGACTAAACGTTGCCACAACACCCCTTGGTTGACACAGTCGAAAACCTGACTGACTGCCTGATTTCAGCGTAGAACTTTGCACAGATGTGCAGCAGGTTCGAGTCACCACACTTCACTCAACACACAAAGCCAGAGAAGAAGAAGAAAGTTAAAAGAAATTCAACCGGGAAGTAACAATCGCTCACACACTTCCAAAAGCACATGAAGCTTTCCTGAACATCATTCTCCTTTACCGACATCACCTTCATTATCTAGTCGAAAACCAGCTTTAGGTCAAGAAATATGGTAAATGTTTGACGTTGGTAAGTATGTCTATGTTCGTGAATCTATCAGAGTGTTAAGATATGATCACTGCAGCCTCTTCCTGGTCTTCCATTGCATGTTTGTATTGCTGTTGTCAGTTCCAAACATTTCAAAACTGACGGTTTTTCTATGTATTTTAATGATATTGAATATAATCCTCATTGTTTTTTTATGGATTCTATTTTTAAAGTGGTAGTTTGAAACGTGCCAATGAGCTGGGCGATACAGCATTACATCATGCTGCACGTTATGGTTGTGTAGATGCACTAAAATTACTTGTTCAAGCTGGTGGGATTCCAACTCCTGTAAGTCCATCATCCTTCATTCGTGCAGTGATTTTATCGTATATATAGTCTATTAATTATGGGAATGTTTTTCTATAAGATTTTATTTAATTCAATGCTACTCAAGAACTAATTGCAATATCATGTAGTTGGCAATTAGCTGCACCTATTATGTGTGTATGGATGTGTTATACTAACCGAGGTTGCCAAACCGCGATGCGTTCGGCGGAGCTCGAACCAGTGACCCATTGGTTAGAAGTTAAGCGCTTAGACAAGCGGACTACAGCTCCAGATAAGATGTTGCTTGGTGAAATCCAGGAAGCGCGTTTCGTTCTCTGTGGGATCCATCAGCTGCAACTTGAGTCAAATATGGGTAGTAAAATTGTATCCTTCAAGTGTACATAATACTTTCTGAAAATTCCAGTGCTGTTGTCATAGTATCATTGCTGATTCCTTGTAATGTAAATTCATATGGTATGTTGTTGATTATTTCCGTGCAACTAAGTTCTGAGGTGAAGTCCAACCATGCACGTGGTCTGGAGTTCGATTCCCGGCTGGCGTATACCTTTACCTCCCATAGCTGGTTGTAAGCCCGACAAATTTTTGTGGCGGCCTGTTTGACATCTGGGCTACCTTTCTGTACATCTACATATTTGCATCTAATACATCATGTTTCCATTATTATTATTAAATTGGGAAGGTTGAGTGTGAAGCTAGTTAACCTCATTCCGTAAAAAACACCATTACTACTGGAAATTCAAACCTCAAGCTTGAAGCCTTATGTTCCACTAGGAACGCAAAGGAATAAAATAAACAATACAATAGAATCAGAATATTATTTGCACAAAGTGGTTTGAACGCAGTGCTTACTGTTTTTTATCACTAGTCATTGTGCTTTGTCAAAACTACTATTGTTTTAGATATGACTGTCTATCTGCTTGATGTTCCCAGTTGACCTTTTAGTGACTTTAATGTCACTTTGTATTTATCCTTATAAGAAAATGGAGATAGATTAGTCATATTCTTAGGACACCGTTAAGTGACATCACGCACCAAGCCTCTCAGCAAAACCTGAGTGATAGGCGAAGAGTTGGGTTTTTTCGAGGTCAACATGGAGGAGATCATGTGAGGAGGGAACGAAAGCTCGATGGGCAATCGTGGAATTGTCTAGGAAAGATTGCGGAAATCCGAGTCATATAGAGGATGTACTACTGAGGTTCAATGTTTCACCCGCAACTCAAGAAAATTTAAATGGTGGGTAGGAATTACTTTTTTCTACAATGAACCTAATAGTAGTTATTAGTCGGGAGATACTTATATTAGCTTAGGTTGAACTTTCGCGATATATGTTCTTGTATATTTCTGAGTTGTTTTTTCTCTCAATTCTACTTCTCACTCCTATTTTCTGTTTTTTTAGATCCTTCAACTCACCAATAAAAATGGTCAAACAGCATTGGACATCGTCGAGGTTATGCTGACGACCGAATCAAATCCCAGTGAACTAGTCGAAGCGTATAAAAGTTGTCAACAAATATTAAAATTAGCTGATTTAATTGCATCGAGTATATCATCGAATACTAATCGTTTAATGACTGATTCTATATGTTCGTTATTCCCTAACACTGATGGTTCCTCGGAGAAAATATCAATGCATCGTGCTAATCTAACTGAATTGTTAGATCGATTGAATTCAGTCAATTGGTGTCAGCCGACCAATGCTTTATCACCATCCACAACGTCCTATTGGGCAAAGAGTGGAAAATATCGTCCTGCTAATAAGCGTGTCCCAGTGTCGTCATCATCCACAATAACAACAACACCTGGTGTTAGTACTGCGAATACCACAACAACGACAACCGCATCAGAAGCATTCAGTAGTAAATTAGGTTATTTCTCTTTGTCTCCTGTGATAAAAACCACAAATCAGGTGAGTGATTTCATTACAACAGATTTTGCATAAAATTTTGGCCGTGATTTTTTGTATTTTCTAGTTCTCACTTGATGCAGGCTTGTGTTGTTGCACATAATTTATTATTACTTTGCATTCCGAGTGTGGAACGTGGGAATTCAAGCCTGAGCTTTGAAGTTTCGGTAGCAGTGCTCTTTTTATGCGGTGCGGTTGCTCGCCTCACACGCAACCTTCCATGTTTATTGGGCTTACTACCACCGGCTAAGCCCCAGGTCTAGGAGGCTGTTGGCTGGGAATCGAACCTCGCATCACGTATGGTGAGTTTGGCGAGTGCTTTGCCACTGAATAACTATTGAAAATATGGGAAACAATTCTAGAAAGAATTGACTGACTGACCGGTTTCAACATAGGACTTTGCACAGAAGTGGTCTATTTCGAGTTGTCACTCTTCATGTAGTGCACAAAAGAGAAGAAAAATATTCGAAAGAAAGATAATGAGCCGAAATGTGAGGGAGAAAGAACAATAATACGGGAAAACGATAAGTTTTCATGGATATGAGAGATCGCAAAGAATGAATGTATCTGCGCCACTGAGAACAATTTTGGGCCATATCACCAGTGGTTTTCAACATCCGGAGGATACCATTCAAGCAATCTGTACCCTCCTACATAGTTATCTGGAACCAATCTTCAAAGACTTATTCCACGTCTTGGTTTAATCACGCACCCGTAACTCTTTTCTAACCCAACCATTTGTCAGCTAACATTGCTCGTCGAGTAAAACGACTCTGCATTCATGGCACATGTCGTAGCCACTTTAATCTGTGTAGTTTTACAACCTCATCGATGGACTTACCTTCCCTACCTAACCCTCTGCGGCAAACCACATTAATGATCACCATATTATACCATACTATACCATATTTTACCGTGAAACAATTCAACACAAGCCGTTTGTATCCCTGCTGAGGTTTTGTCATCAATCAGTGTACTAGGGCTGATGTAACAAGTGAAATAGTCAACATGCTTAACCACTTCACTCTGTCTTTCTTTAAGTTGGGAGTCTCTGTAGTCTAGTCTTGCAGTATCTTACATTTGACTGGAGCAAATCGTATGCCAAACATTTGGAGATTTCTGCCGAATGTGTTCTGAAAACTGAGTTGTAGAGTAAACCTAATAACGTTTCCATTATGGGTAAATTTTGTTTGTCATATTATAATCATATTATATGATTATGAGCAGTAAATTGTGCTCGAAACGTCATCAGTAAACCTTACTGTATAACACTTTGAGACTTTATCAAAACAAAATTTACCCATAATGGAATTACACTCTACCACAGTGCACAAGTTTTATTCTAATAATGTTTGTTTGAATTTTTTGTTTTTATTTCGCTGCTATGGAACTTTTTATTTCTGAAATTCACTGAATTTTGAAGGAAAGCTCTTATTATAAACACCCAGGTATTATTGTTCAGATGATTAAAGTAGTCTATAGAAGAAGAGATTCCTAACTTAAAGATAGGGAGTGAAGTTGTGGAGTGTGTTGATCACTTCACGTATTTGGGAATTCGCAACAGCCCCCCCCCCCCCCAATGGGCTGATTGCTGACAAAATCTCAGCACGGATACAAAAGGCTCGTGTTGCACTCGCCAACTTGCGCCATCGCTGGCATAGATGTAATGTCTGGCCACCAATCAAAGGACGAGAGTACTGCTTAGTCGTTCGCTCCGTACTCCTTTGTGTTTGTGAAACATTGCCATTGAAGGTGGAATACATGAAAAGGCTATCTATCTTCCATCAAAGGTATCTGTGTCTTCTCTCCCACGTTAGGTAGTATGATAGATTTACTAATATTGAGAATGGGCGTTAATTGTTAGATAAGGAGGGAAAGTCAATCGATGAGGTTGTCCAGGTGAATCGATTGAGATGGTCGGGAGATGTGGTACGCGTGCCTAGCCATTGCCTTCCTCAGCTCGGTCAATGTTAGCCGAAATAGGATCAGGTTGGAAAAGAGGTAGTGGTGGTCAAACGAAAACATGGCTTCATCAGTCAATGAAATCCACAACAGTTAGTTTAAGCCAGCCACTTAGGGAGGTGTAAACTGACTTCCCGGTTGGAGTCCTCAGGATGGTAAGAACCAATGTCAGGAGACGATTCGTGATATTGCTCAAAATCTTTCTCAATGACAGTGCAGATGCATTCACTCTGTGCGATAAACCTTTATTCTCTTTTCCTCACACTTCTGTTTATCCCTCTTTTGAATCTGTCTTAACTCTCTTCTCTCGCTTTGTATGCTACATGGAGGGAGAGTGGCAACTGGAACTAGTACACTTCTGTTCACAGTTCAGTGTTGAAACTAGTCAGTCATAAAATAAGCGGTTTTCAACAAAGAGAGATACTCTTTTCAGTGATATCATTTTCAAACGCATACAGATGTATACATATACAATATATTTTAATGAAAACAAAACACCGTAGTTCAGCGAAGTGTCTCTTTTCGGCAAATTCATTCACTCTTAGCCATACAATCACAATTATATATACTTATTTTTGTATGTGTGTGTACGTTAGGTTTGTCCAATAAAAATAAAAATAAGTTACGGTTATTGTTGTCAAGACATTTCAAAAATGTGATTAGTAATCAAGCTGTAACTAGGGGGGGGGGTGAAGATTGGTAAGAAGGAGGTAGTGGTGATGTGTTCTCAAAATAACTTATTTATTAACAAATGAAAGAAGTTTAATAAGCGTTATACAGTTGCGTAATAAGATGAATAGACTGATGACTTGAGGATGCACATAGAAACAAAGGAAAATATGGAATTATGTAAGAGTTGTAAAGATTACAAACATTATAAGGAGTTAGAGAAGAAAAAGGAAAACACAAGCACACAAATGTCAAGTCACTAGAAGTCAACACGGTTGTTACCATGATAATAGTAGTAATGGTTGTATGATTTCCTTTTGTTTGCATAACTCGGTGTTTTTGACTGAATGACTAAGGCTTTAGCACTGCAAAATGGGACGAAAGCGTATTGCCTTTGGTAGGTTGTTCTTCACTTTGAAGAAGGCGTTTGTTGAGATAGAATGATAATTGCTGATGAGATGTTCAGTTATCGCACTCCTTATTCTTACCAGGCAATCCTAACATACACACACACATACAAAAATAAGTATAATATATAGTCGCGATTGTACAGTTTAATGAATAAATTCGCCTCTGAAAAGGAGACTCTTCGCTGAACTACGTGTTTTGTTTTCCTCATTAATGTCTGGATGGGGATTATTCATGAACAGTAACAAAAGGAATGTTTCCGGGGTGGTTATTAAAGTTCTGAAGTTAAAGTAACTACCAAAAGATTCTAAATTACATGTTACAGAAACATTATTCAGGTGTAGGGTTAATTAAAGTTATTAAGTAACACAATTGGCAGGATCGAGTAGAGTTACACTAAAATTGAAAGGTCAAGCCAAGATCATTATCTTCAGTAGTAGCAGAAGTGTAACACTTGGAAAATGATAAAAAATAAAATAAAATTTTAAAAAATTCAAATGTCAAATTATTTTTGATGAATCGGATCAATTGTTAGCTAAATGACTGAAAAAAAACTTATTTTGTATGTTCAGGATTTAACATGCAGATTGCCATAGTTATTACGACTTTTTTTTTAAAGAAAAAGGCTAATTCGTACACATTTGACGAATGAATAACTAAATAGTCTTAAGTAGATTAGAACCCATTCTTAAAGGGATTTTTTCATCTTTCCTTTTTAAGAATTATGAATCTGTAGTATGCAATTTTAATAAACTCTCTTTTACTGTAGATATAACGGAGAAGATTTGTTGCTCAGGTGCATTTTGATGTAGTTGTGTTCTCTGAGCTGGTTAATTTACCTGCGAAGCTTTCATTGCCCTAGTAGGCAACTTCTAAAAATTCTCTGGCAGTCATGGTGTTCCCTCCGTCTAGTATTTGAACGTTGGTTGTCCCAGTCGAATTGATTTCCGTGGTTGTCTGTATGCAGCAATGTCATACGTTATAATGTCAAAAGACAATGTTCAAATATTAGACAGAGAAAACACCAAAAATGCCAGAGAATCTTCAGAAGCCTGGTATTCCAGTGAATCGTCAATTAGTAGACACATTAGCATATACAAAATTTACCAATCGATGAAAAGGAAATGTCATACACAAAGGGTTAAACTTCAACTCAAGGAAACAATCAGTACCAATACAAGTAGCCTAAAGGGTGTGAAAATACAAAAATGACCAATCACGTTCAAGGTCACCAGGGGAGATAACTAATAAACTCATGGAGAAACCTAAAAGCTCATTTCAAATTGAAGTATGCGCTGAAGATGTTACCTAGTAGGACAATGAAAGCTTCGCAAATAAACCATCCAGCTCAGAGAACACAAATACATCAAAATCTTTAGTAGCTGTTAATCTCCTCCGAGAATTCACTTAGCCTCAGGTGGTAATTTAACTACTGAACGAACTATCAAGAAGTATCTGAAGCAGCATCCTTTAGACATCTTTGTGCATATTGAAAATACCAGTAGGTGTAAATTGTTGCCAATTTGTTATAACTGGACTCAACTGAATAAATCCGTTGCTACTTTGTTATGTCTGCGCCTCCTAATTACTATGACGGTAATGACCTCGACTGGTACACTAATACGTCTATTTGTCCGTTGTACCTTCCGATTCACTGAGCCACGCAAATATCAAAAGACAGAGGCTGACCTGTGACTGTATGATATTGTATTTTTTACTATACTGTGTAGTTTAAGAAACAACACCTGATGTCTATGCATTTTCTTAACCATAATAAAGTCGGCTCATAACCGTGGGAATGTATTGATCTAATTGGCTGGAAATGTCTATTCTCATTGGTTGGTGATCCGATAAAGATCAAGGTGAGACAAAAGAAGATGAAATGGTGGTCACACACTAAATCATAATATGCGTGAGAAATAATACATTCACATAGTAACTCCATTACATCATAAATCACATGATTCGTGAGAAAGGACGATATACTATTGTATGCTGGGTCCTATCATCAATACACAATCAAACCAATAGGAAAACTCTGCTCATCACTTAACTACTGAAACATATAGATCATTGTTGTTAGGGCTTACAGGTTTTGCTTTTGCAGCAGTTTGATTTGACTGGTTGCAGGATCCCAGCATGAGCTGACATCGGTTAAAAAACCATTGGAAAGCCAGCTGGGGGAGTACTAAACAGCTGTTTCGTCAGCCTAGTTTGGGAGTCCCCAGCAGAACGCACCCACCCTACTGCCAGGGTTCGAACCAAGGACCTTCTGGTTACAAGGCGAGCGAGCTCACAGACCATTTAGTCACTGGAACCCGACTGAGTAGTCAGTTCATGAATTCCAACTTCTGCCAATTCACGATATAGCGCGACCACTAGTCTGTTAGCTCGCTATGTAACTGGGAGGTCCTGCGTTAGAACCCCTATGGTGGATGCGTACTGCTGAAGTGTCCCAATCTAGGCTTTCGGAACGGATGTCCAATGCACTCAGCTGGTTTTCCACTGGTTCTCTAACCGATGTCAGCTCATGCTGTAATCCTATTAAGACTTTGTTTGATACATTAGTTACAGAATGTTTTTTCGGGGCGATTTCTTTTTAATTCGTTGAGAGTACTTAGGGAAACGTGTAGGAGACAATTTAACGAAGAAAATTTTCTTTCAACTGTTGGTTTGCTAGGATTTGATTGGTTACAGGTTCGGTCACAAGCTGACATCAGTTAGTGACTATTATGGGAGAATTAGGGAGTACTGTGGTACAGCAGTTTCGTCCTGGTTTAAAACCTAAATTGTGATCTACAGGATAGTGGAGCTACTTTCTCATGGACGCCGGTGACCAAAACACCTTCATACACCATCGGATCCGTTCCGATTCTAGAGCCCATGTACATACATCATATATTTGGAATCAGGATTTTCAGTTCCTCTAGGTCTGGACCTGTGTATCCACCAGACATTGATTTTCACCCTTTCACTTTTGTGGGTAACACCTCAGCCTCAAATGAAAGCAATGAATATAGGACTTACATAGTAGAAGCTATGAGTGTGTGGCCACTTGTGATGAGTGTATTTCGATTAAAGCATATCTACTCGCGGCATTCTAGCTTGTTTATGGTGGGCAGAAATATTTGATTAAATTGTAGCTTTATATATCACGAATAAAATATACACAAGTGTTATCTCTTTTTTGTGTGCTTTTCTTTTAGTTTGATTTGTCGAGATTATTATTATTATCAGTTGTTGCTGTTATTATTATTATTGAATACTATTAACAAATTTATGCACATTATTATTATTCTTTCACGTTTCCTTAACATTACAGTCATCCATTTCCAGTCCACGTGATATAAACTCTTCTAAGACAACATCAAGTGGGAAACAAATAACCTTTGAAGAAAACCGATATGCTACAAGCAAAAATGTACCAACGTTCAACAAACCTATCCGATGTAAGCCCCACCCCTCCCCTTTTTCTCTCCATTAGGAGAGCTGAAATGTTGTTTTTTATAGCAAACTTTGAAGTGTTATCAATTTAGCTGTCCACAAGTGTTATGTATTGTTGGTGAACCACTATCAATACAGTACAGTACAGAGAACTCGGTGGAACAGAGGTTAGGACTCTCGCCGACCATGCACATGGTCCGGGGTTCGATCCCCTGCCGACACACACCTGATTTCTTTGGTTGGCCTGCAAAATTTGGGCTACCGATATCACATGCTGAAAATTCCATAGTTGTACCAAAAATACGGTGTGGAATCAAGCTGTAACCCGGAAAAAAATAGTCATTTTTCAAGTGTTGGTTTGTAGGGATTTGATTGGTTGGTTACAGGATTTCATCATGAGTTGAGATTGGTTAAAGAACCATTGGAAAACCTGCAGGGAATACTGGATAGCTGTTTCGTCATATTTTGGGACTCCTCAGCATCTGTCCAGTACTTCCAGGTTTTCCAGTGTTTCTCTAACCAATGTCAGCTGATGATGAAATCCTGCAACCAGTCACATTTTTCTTGCATTATATATATATATATATACATATGTATGTATATATATATATTCAATAATTGTGTGCGACCAATCAAAGCTTTGCAAGTTTTTGTTACCCAGTTTACTAATGATTGTAAACATTCCAGTCATCATGGAATTGTATATTCTACTAGATATTATTCCTGTTCAATCCGATCATCTTTGAAATAGATGTAGGCATTTAACTTTTCGGGCTTTTAGGTTTTCTATTTGCTTGTAGGCTCATTCAAAAAGGGTTTTTTCAATCATCTGAATTACATGAGAGAGTATAATCCTTGTATGTCAAGTCACTGCTTCCATATAGGGTTCAAAGAGTTAACGCGTCACCAAAAACTTTCCAACAGGCGCCACTTAAAACTTTTATCAACAACAGACTTCGCTCTATATTGAAGATAAGATGATGGCCAACCGGAAAGAATTACCAACAATGAACTCTTGGAATGAACCAACCAACACAACCTTATTGTCCAATAAATATACTAAAGGAAATAGACATGAATTGAACAGACTCTGTGTTAACCGTTGAAGCCCTTGAATGGGCGTAGGTTCTAGGGTAACATGGATAAGATGTGGTATGAGGAGAAAGTGAAAGCTTATGAGCAGTCGTGGAGCTAGTTAAATCAGACTTTAGAGAACAGGATGATATGGAGATGTGTTGTTGAAGCCCCCTACGTTCTACTCAGAAACTAACTAGGGGGGGATAACAATAATAATAATTTATTTCTGTTATTTGAGTTATTACTTTTTAATTGTTTTTTTTTTCCTTTACTTCGTAGCTTTCAGTCACTATTCTCCTTCAGCACATTATGGTAGTGTATTGGCAACACTACCTCGTAAAAAAGGTCCTGCTCCTCGTCCACCATCTATAGACAGTCAAGCAAATGATTCATTCGATTCTGGAACATCGAATAAAGCTGATGTAATTGAAAGTTGTTTTGTTTTGGTGTATACATACTGTCGTTTAGAGTATATTATTAAGAAGTGTGTGCGTCGGTGGCACAGCGGTAGAATGCTCGCCTACCACCCAAGTGGTCCGGTGTTCAATTCCCGGCCAAAGCACTCCTTTACCTCACTGAGCCAGACTGGTAAAGATGGAAGATTGAGCATGAGGCTAACAACCCCATCCTGTAGAAAATAATCACCACTGTTACAGAAACTTCAAGCCTCTAGCTTGAAGACCTATGTTCCACTGGGAACGTAAAGAAAATTAAAAAATTATAAAAAAAATTAAGAATTACCAGAGTTAATACGAACAAACTGAAGACTTACACCTTCATCACACAAGGCGATTTATAAATTTAAGTAAACTTTAGTTGACTACTGTTACAAATATATGCGTAGTTGATTGTGAACGAAAACGCTGTTAATAACCAAAGAACATAAAGAGGGTTTACGAAACTGGAAACAAATGAGGATTCAGTGATCTTCAAATCTGATTTCTTTAAATCTCAAGGGTTGTTATCGTGGACAAATCTGATTGGATAGGCAAAATGATGACATTCACAATTGTAATCATTCTGAAGCTCATAAATTATTAACTGATAGTGGTTTGATGGGAAGAATTGAAAAACAAGGACATTAGAAATGTGGGAGGAACAAGGCACTATGTCTCAAACTAAGACCTGTTGGTACCGCGACACACAGGTTATGTATACACTGTGCTTGTTCCTTTGACGCCAATCTTTGATTATACCCAGTTCACCATATCATATAACTGCTAAATAGCTGATACAACTTCAACAACTGTTACACACAAGGAAGTTCTAAAACGCAGTGTAAATGACAGTTTTCTATTTGTGATGAGGATGCGACACTTAAAGGTGAACAATGATAAGTTCATGATTTTCTTGAATACGTGTCTGCTTTATTCACTAATATGTCTTTAAAGAAAACAGTGACAGTAAAAAACCAAAATACCACTATATTCTGATATCGCATGTATGTGTTGTAATCGACTGATCTGTATCTTCAAGTATTGATTTCTGTCGGGATTTTGTTTGATTGGTTGGAGGATTTCATCATGAGCACACATCAGTTACAGAACCATTGGAAAACCTGTGCAGGTGCGTACTGTTGAAGAGTCCCAAACTAAAACAAAACAGTTGTCCAGTACTCCCAGGTTTTCCACAGGTTCTCTAACTGATCTCTACTCATGATGAAATCCTCCAACTGATCTGTATCTATTGCATCAAAGTTTATGACGTCATTGACTTCCGTAAGTCACAGTTGTAAGTTATCATGTGTTAAAATAAACTTTCCAGTTCCTATTACCAATAACACAATAGCTCTCTTTCCTGTTTAGCTTGAAACCTACTGTATAAAGTATTTGTTTACTGCACTGCTGATTACGCTCGTATCTCATGCTTATCAGCTTTACCCTTAAGAATTGAGACATTTTTCTATTTTCTTCTCTACCAAACCAATTATGTTTGAATAAAGTATGTTCAAGTAATTAATTTATTGAATAGTTAAATAGAAACCTATTTATAATTTAATAAGAATGTTTTTGTTTCTCTTTTCCTTCTTTGACTTACTTCTCCTTAGTTTTGGAGTACATTCAATCGATTAGATATCAGTCGGATTCCAAGTTGTAAGTTGTTATTATTATTATTATTATTATGACTTTTATCTTTAACAATAAGAACAAAACTTTTTCCCCATCGATGTAAGCCTGGTATCTGCAATAATTCCCTGAAACGAAAAACTTTTGTGCTACATGTTGGAATGCAGAGAAGGTCCTGGGGTGGATCCTCGATGGGATTCTGTTATGGGTGCGTGTCGCTTATAATAGTCCCAAACTAGGAGGAAACAACTGTCCAGTACTCCCTGGTTTTCAATGAGATTCTCTAAATGATGTCAGTTTGTGATCAAACTTGTAGCAAATCTATAATTAGATGACTTAAATAATTAGGTGGTTGCTTCCTTTCACATTTAAACCCGTCGGCTTTTGTTGTGGTCTACCTATAATATTGAAGAGAGGCACTGCTGTCTGTTAAATTCAAAACCTAGTTGTACAACCAGAATAATTTTACACACGAGCTCCCCTTAATGAATTTGAACAAAGCAATGACAACACATGGAGTAGAATAAAACATACGGATCCATTGTTTAGCTCATTGTTGTATCCCTTGACAATTGTATACAATCAAAATAATCATTTAGTAGTTCTGCTACATTTTCAACATACTTAATTTCATTGGGCGATTAAAGTGTGAAACAGCAGTTCGTAATGATAATGGTATATGTTAAGTAAATGCAATATTGTTATAATTCCCTTGGGTTCCGAATGGAACATAGTGCTTCAGCAGCACGTGTCCACCCTGCCTGATTTTCTGCTGTCCTCTTCAGCTGGGCCCACAACTGCCCATAATCTTTCATCGCCTCTTCACACCATCTTCTCCATGTCACTATCAGACACACTCATCGTTTCCCATTCGGGTTCCAATCGAAGGCCTGACTCACGATGTCATTCGACGGTCTCTTCAATGTGTGACGTATCCATTTCCATTTTCTCCTACATGCTTTCTGAACAATAGGTTCATGGTTAGCTTGTTTCCATAGTTTCTTGTTGCTAATTCTTTTCGGCCAACGGACCATCTGATCTTCAATATAAAGCCAGCTGTTGAAGGCGACTGTTGATAAAAGTCTTCAGCAGCCTGTTGGAAATGCTTTTCGTGACCCGTATAGAAGAACTGACTGATTTCACATTCGTGTTGAAAGTTCGAATCTTGGTGTTTATGCTGAGGTGTGGAGTGCAGATGATTTCCAAACTGGTTTCAGGTTGATGAATGCGTATCTTGCCTTTCCGATTCTGGCTTGCTTTGACATATTCATCCGATCCAGCTACCTGTAGTTGAAACAATACTTACTGTCTAGATAAGTGAAAGAAGTAACCCAAGTCAAATCTCTCCCGTTGATGGGGATCGGTTCTGGTTGTTGTTGCTGTTAGTTGGTGGGTACTTTCATCACCTCCGTCTTCTCTATATTCACCTAGAGGAGACATGAAATATTGCTCGACTTGTATGGGTTACATGATCGAAGTTTCTCGAATAAAACAAAAAGTTCATGCATTTATTCCCCTTGATGAATTTAAATAAAGCAAGAACAACAGTGGTTTGTGCAGAATAATATGGTACCATCATTTATTTCGTCGGCTTCTCATCAGCTGCTTACAGCCTAAATAAATTGTGAGGTTTACGTACAGAAAAGTTTTAACATACTTGCAAATTTTTACATGTTGTCAGTTGACAGAAAGTTCCAAAGTAAGTGAACAGTGCTCAGAAAATTGCGCTTATATAGTTTTTACACAGGCAGTTCAAGTTTACTCATCTTACTCACCTCTCGTCTTTATTACGTAACTCTTTTACCATTGTATGCATACATCTATTTTGTTTAAACTTGAACTGCCTGTGTAAAAACTATATAAGCGCAATTTTCTGAGCACTGTTCACTTACTTTGGAACTTTCTGTCAACTGACAACATGTAAAAATTTGCAAGTATGTTAAAACTTTTCTGTACGTAAACCTCACAATTTATTTAGGCTGTAAGCAGCTGATGAGAAGCCGACGAAATAAATGATGGTACCATATTATTCTGCACAAACCACTGTTGTTCTTGCTTTATTTAAAAACAAAAAGTAGCGAAAAGATACTGACGTATATAATTTGTAAGACTGCGTAAGTCATTCGAAAATGTCAAGCTCATTTATTAAGATATCAAACATGTGAAGCATGCATAACGTTTAATAAATGATGATGTAACTAATTAAAAGTGAAAAGAAATCAACATTGACGTTCCTGCACTATTTATTGTTTTTGATTTCTTGCAAAAACCAACATAAGTTAATTCTGAAAAATCTTATATTAGAGTTGGACAGCCGTGCATGATCTTCTCCTCGGTTATTAACAAGTCTCGCTGATAATTCTGTCTAGTCCCGTGATATACAATTATAAAGTGTTGGTTTTCAGGGATTTGTTCACGAGTTTGACATCAGTTAGAGAACCATTGGAAAACATGTAACCATTACCATCATCAGCACTATAGAGGTTGCGCTAAATTCGGAATTCATGGGTCATTGGATCAGGTGCCAGTGGTTGAATGGATGGTCTACAAGTTCTCCTTGTAACCGGAAGGTCTTGATTTCAAATCCCACTGAGTGTGTAATGATAAAGAGTCCCAAACTAGGCTGACGAAACATCTGTCCCGCACTCCCTGGTTTTCCAATGGTTCTCTAACCGATGTCAACTTGCAATGAAATCTGAAACTAATATATGAAGTTAATCAATACTCGGTACACATTTCCTTATCTGTAAAATCTAAGAGAGTAGGATATCTGGTGTTAAATGGGTGTGTGTGGGGGGGGGTTATTCGTTACAATGATATCGTGACTCATTGTCTGTTTCTGATCCATATTGTCTATCATATCAATGTGAATGAATGTACATGCTGTGTTTGATTTACTTCTCTTCCGCAACCCTCCTTCTTTATCAAATTGTCTAATAATATTGAATGTTTTTAATCGTCTATGAAACAACAAAACATGCTGGGTCTTTGTTATATGTATAGTCAGAACTAATGATGAGTAGATTCATTCATTTCTCTAATTTACTTCGACACAATTAATTATGATGTAATTTGAAGGACTGGTAGGTAGAATAACGTGTCTTTCAGCGTCGATGATATACGCATGCATTACATAGCTCTTCATACATGTCAGTCATTCGTTTTTATTTCTTAGTGGTAATGAGATTAGACTTAATTAATACTATTATTATAATATAACTTAAGTGTAAATCAATCTTCACTTTATTTTTTTTCCTTGTGTTTTTGAACGGTATAAAGAATAACTGTAACTCTTTTCAGTAATTGTTACCCTTATTGCTTTTAAATATATGCTTTAAATCATACTTCCATGCAAACTGGAGATTAATTTGAAGGGTGGTAAATTTCTTAAGTGGAAAGAAATTGTCTCAATCGCTTCATCTATGCGTTGAATTTTTTCTCATATAACCAATTTATGAGAATAAAGTTTAACTTGTGTGTTGTGTTGTTTATTCCTTTGTGGTACGAGTGGAACATAGGACTCTTCAAGCTTGAGGCTTTGAAGTGTCAGTATAGCAGTGTAGCGGTATTTCTCTTTTACTCAGTGAGGTTGTTAATTTCACGCCCAACTTTGTCAGAATTAATACTGACTAAATGAGGTTTAGGAGTACATGGACCGGGAATTGAATCCCGGATCACGCGTCGTGTCCTGATTGGCGTTTATGCTACTATTGAACTACCGATACACGGCACACCGTTTACACTAGTTACGACTTCATTACTATAGTGTATATATATATGTATACCACTTAATGACAGAGGTGGTTGTCTTCACTGTATATTCAAAAAAGGTACTTAGAAATTCTGTTGTGACCAGTATGCATAGTTATTTAGTACCTCTAGCTCCTTATTCTAATAGGCCAAGTTTTACGTTTTCTATGTTTTTCACTAATATTAAGTTTTCGAGTTAGACCACGGATTGATATCAGTTGGAGGACCATTAATAGCCAGGGAGTTTTGGACAGTTGTTTCGTCCTATTTTGGGACTCCTCAGTAGTATGCAAAGCACCCAAAAATAGAATAAAAAAGATGTCCGTGGTTTCGCTAACTTATATCAATTGGTTTTCGAACTTGAAACCAATCAAATCCTGACAAAACGGGCATTTGAAAATTAATTTTATGCTTATAAATGACTGACAATACGAGGAAGTTGCCTGGAGTTTTTCAGTGAGATGACATGATCAGTGGGCTCCATCAGGGGTCGGGTATGAGAACAAATACTAGCTGGTGGCGGTTACGCTGAAAACCGCAAATTGACACAAGTTGAATTTGATGGGTCATTTGATTCGTTCCAGTAGCTGAATGGTATATAGGTTCACCTTGAAACTGGAAGATTCTGAGTTCGGTTCCTTGTGGTCTGATGGGTTTGTGCCGATGAGGAGTCACAAACTGGGACGATGGCAATGTCCATGACTCTCAGTTTTTTCAATGGTACTGTAACTGATATCAGTAAGTAATCAAACCTTGAATTTTTTTCTACATGGAAATCCGCCTAGCTGTATATCATCCTAATACTGTGGAAATAGTGGAGATGTGGCTTACTGGCTTAAGCACTCGGTTTTCAGTCAATAGGCCTTGGATTCGAATGCCCTTCCACCTAGGCAACTGGTTAGTATCTCGTCACGACCTAACACACTGTAATTTTTTAGCCCATAGCCAAGAATATGAAATTTCTTTACTGGTTAACTTAGTGTAAATAAATAAACTAATTATAGAAAGAAAACATTCAAGATAACTTGTTGCTATATGTGGATGTACTACATATTGTTTCATCTTTTCTTGTGTATCTTATTTTCCTTGTTCCTTTCTCCCCACCCCCCGTCGTCACACGCTTCTCTCTCCCAATCCACTGCAAAATCTCAACATCTGGATATGTATTTTAATGTATTGTTTTCTTTCTTCTTATCTTTATCTCTGTATTTATCTAGCTCCTTCTGAGGCTGATAAACAATTACCCAGTGATCATATTGATATAATATTAGATGTTCTAGAAGAAAGACCAACTATATCTACACCTTGTGTAATTACTTCATCTTCTCCTGCTGGTGATTTCATCACCAATAACACTAATACTGTTTTTACCTCAAGAACAATGAAGAGTATAGGCACTTCTTCGTCTACAATTCCTAATGATAATGGTGGTGATGATAATGATGGTATTACAACATCTCCACCAATCCCACCTAAACCTAGTTATCTATCCAATACACTCTATTCAACTCTGCCTAATCGAAGTTTACACGTGGTAAGTATTAACCTCCTTATTCATTTATGCGTAATTAAGATTTCGTTTATGTGTAGATGTTTGTGTTGTGTCGGTTGTTTGAAGATAAATAATTAGTTTTCAAGTATTGGTTTGTAAGGATTTGAATATCACTGATATGCTCGCTAGCGACTGACCCTATTCAGGTAGGTGGTTACTTGGGGTTCTAGTGGAAAGTCGTGACCAGTAGGGTACAGCAGGTCAGGTGTGAGCACAAATACTCGCTGATGGCATTGGCTAGTGGTCGCGCTGTATCGTGAATTGGCAGAAGTTGGAATTCGTAGTCTGGCCATTGGATTGGGTCCCAGTGGTTTAATGGTCTATGGGCTCGCTTGTCTTGAAACCGGAAGGTCCTGGGTTCGAACCTTGGCAGTGGGGTGGATGCGTACTGATGAGGGGTCCCAAACTAGTCTGTCCAGTACTCCGAAGTTTTCCAGTCGTTCTCTCACCGATGTCAGCTCATGAGGCAATTCAATAAGTTTCAGTTTGATTAAGTAGGTTTGCGATGGTAAATGTTTAGCCTTTATTTGTGAAGTAATCCGACTGTAGCATGAACAACTTAACTAGATACTCCGCACCTTCAGATTGGTCGTGGGTCAGAAACTAGGGTTTTTACTAAAAATGCTATAAAGTCCAACAAGCTGGTGGTGGTTAATTTATGAAAGTGCGATTCCTTTTATAGTCTCCAAATCACCTGTAGTTGAAACTGATTAATAACATAAGACCTGACATATCAATTGTTGCTTGTGGTACATGGTAGCACGTAGTACATTATTTTCACTAAAGTGCAGTAATACACCTTTATGTATAACTATGCTGTGAGGGAAATAAATTATAACTGGAAGCTCCTCAGTGTAAGTGCTTTATACCCCCCCCTCCAAAAAAAGGATTCTGTTTTGAGGTGAATAGTTAGTGTTGTTAATCTATCTAGCTTTTAGAACAAGACGTATAAACGAACAATATTGTTTTCAATCAGATCTTCAGGCTTTCTCTAATTTACATAGATTTATATATAAAATTTTTAACCAGTGACGGTGATTTTGTGGATCAAATAATAATAATGTAGTAAATGTTTTGAATGTCATTAATAACGATGATTATAATGACAACAAAATAATGATAATAAGGTTTATGCACGCGGCCATACGAATAACGAAGGTAGTAATATGTGTATTTGTAGACAATTCAATAAATAAATTAGGTCAAGTCTTGAAAGTTACGCAATACTAATGGTGAAGCGGACAGATAGTCAGACTTTAAATAAATATCATTAAAACACGAAGGGAATGAAAGAGAAGACAGAGTGGGAGAGTTTCAATTAAATTTTACCTAGACCAAGGCAGAGACAAAGGTAGAACAAACTTCTTTTGTATACGAAGACTAGGATTGTTCTCTTGAATTCTCATAGCTTCGGTTATGTGTAGAGGGCGGGTTCGAATTCTTTTCGAAAGGCTCGATGGGACGCGACAGATAACTTTGAAGGCACTTCCTCTGTCCGCTTGGTGACCGCTATCAGTCAAATGAGTCAAAATAGAAATTCTTACAGATTTTATTTGACCTTTTACGAACCATGAAGGAAGATGCTCATTAATACATATGTTGAGCTGTCTAGTTGTTCGCCCTATATAGATTTCTCCACAGGAGCAGCTAAATTTATAGATACACATAAAAGTGGCACAGCTAGGTAGCTCGTCTTTCGCTTGCGCAATCATGATTGGTCGGCTGGATAGTGTTTTGATAGAGTTTTTGCAAAAATATATTGGAGGTCTCTGTATACTGTACTCTTGGTGAAATTGAATGAGGTGTCTTCCCCACACCCATATTCCTCAGTCATTCTTTCTGTTGTTGTTTGTAATTCATCTCTGACTGTTTGACTGACCAAGTCTCAGCAGGGGACTGTACACAAATAAGGAATGCATCTGTGCCACGGTTATGGCTGGAACTACAACCCAGTAGACTATGAGCGAATACTAACTTAATGCTAATCTGTTCTAATCACACGTCAGCAACAACAACAATAACACCACCGGGCCACAAAGACAGAAAGAAACAAGACTGGACGTTGACAAGAGAGCTATTACTGTCTCAAAACAACAGTCAAAAAGGTCGACAGTGTTTGTTTAAAATGACCTTGAGAAGCACTAATGTCACTGATAAATTAAGCAGTGAATAATCAATGGAATTTCAAAGGTCATAAGTAGGATGAGAGAAAATCAGGTCATCAATGAATAAGTGGAGTGAGGGAAATACAGACAGACACGTAGAAAATTAGGTCTATATATCAGCCACTGAGAATGATTTTGAGTAATATCAGTAATAGTCTCCAGCCCAGTAATTCTCACCATCCTGAGGATCTCAAACACGCAGTCTATACCTCACAACATAACTCAAATTCACTGTGAAAGACTTCATGGATTGATTCCAGGTTTTGGTTTAAAAGTACTTCCAGCCCTATGCCACCTAACATTTCTCGTCGCATGCTGACTGGTCTAGGACCATACAATTTTCATCTACGTGACAGTTCTAATGACGTTGGATACGTCCATATACTGTTGACAATTACAATTACAATATCTATACATCAGAAAAATGCCTTGCCTTGATGAAGTAGACAAAGTGGTCTTGGGAATCCGAGGACTATTTGCTTAATTCTATAGTGCTTATTGTTTAAGTCACCTGCATAAGGTGATGTCTGTTGTGGGTAGTTTTTTATACATAAGGATAATGAATTATAAAATGTACTATATTCAACTGTTATAATAGTCTTCTAAAAATGTTCCCTTTTATCTTTTTACCTCATTATAGAATAGGACTAGTTCTGTTTCGGTTAATTCAAATCTACCTACTGTACTTGACTCTTCCAGTTGTTTAACCTCTTCAACATCAACACCTGCAACTAAAACAATAACAACAACAACCTCATCATCATCATCTAGTCATTGTACCGACTCCTTGAAATATTCTTTATCCCAGCATATAAATGGTAAGTTCTATGTTTGAAGCTTAATCGTGTGTGTAGCTGTTTTCTGATTATATATGCTCAGTTATAATAGGTGCGTCGGTGGCACAGTAGTAGAATGCTCTCGAACCACGCCTCATGTGGTTCGGGGTTCGACCCCGACTACCGACGCACCACTCCTTTACGTCCCTAAGCCAGCAATAAGACTGGTAAAGAGGGGAGGTTGGGCATGAGGCTAGCAACTCCATCCCGTAAAAATAAACTCCTCTGCTACCGAAACTGTAAGCCTCTAGCTTGAAGCCCTATGTTCCACTGGGGAACGTGAAGGAAATAAAAAAAATTTGTTACATTTAACTGATAACCGTCATGTAGGGGAGAAAGCAAAAGCTTTTAAGGTAATTCATCACATTCCACCAAATCTTTCCAATAGACTTTGTATTCGTCTACTGTACACAGCTGAGGTAGGCGAATAGGCATTCGAATTTTTAAGCCTAAACTATGCATCCGAAAAAAGTTCGTAAAGCCATTATCCCTCCCTTGGCTTATTAAGACCTGATCAACTGATGACTTCTCCACCAACCCATTACTTATATTTTCAACCCCTTTCTTATCATCCATTAATCTGATCGCATCTTCATTAAAACGTATTTTGCTTACTTCCCTTACAATCTAGGACTACTTAATCGGTTCATTTGTTGTTCTTAGTCTTTATCGGCTGCTATGTTTACCTGAACATTTGTTTGTTTAATCATGCTGTTTTTCGTTATTCGTGTTATCACAGATCGCCTCATTTTTTCATTCTTATTATTGATAAGACCACTTTTATTATTACTATTATTATTATGATTACTATTATTATGACTAATTACACAATTTACATACACCATCTTATTATCCTATAGACAAAACACCATGATTGGTTTATATTTGAATATTGATTTGTAAAGTTATGTATATTAGATGAGATCTAATTGAAAACAATATTGTTCACTTAAATGTGTTGTTCTAGATTTGGTTAGTGTTCAGAATTTCATCCACCACTCGTCCCTATGCGTTATTTCAGTATTGCTGATTTTAATCTGTAGAAAGTTTAGTTTGTAGAACACTACACGAAATTGTAAGAATTTTTGAAGTGGACTGTTAGTAACATACATGGTGCTTGATATTGTTACCTACTTTGTTGCTTGGTGCATATATCTTCCTATAGTTTTAACTTTTCCATCAGTTAGCAAGCCTATTAGCTGCTTCTTGATTACCCAACCACAAGTGAAAGTTGGCGATGAAACACACTAATGTTGTGAGGTACCATTAAGGTACCGCCTGCTTGCTTGTCTGTCTGCTCGGATTTCAGTGGATGAAGTGGAGTTCGAACTCACGATTCCCTGGTTAGAAATCGACTATCCAGACGCATCAGTCACAGTCCCATCATTTTTTAATTATAATAATAATAACAGTAATAGCTTTATTCTGAATAGTGTTTATAAAAATGCACAGGATTTTCAGTAAAGTTTATTCAGTGATATTTTCCCTTCGTCCAGGATCTCCAAATAAATGATTAATTGGCTGTCAGTAGATCATGTGACATAGTTCTATCTGTCCTGTAGAGCAAACCAATTTATTATGATATCTCTTGTTTTTCTCCTTCGAGAAATACACGACGACATTTGGTTGAATGCCAATTATATGAAGTTCAGGATGACCATTCAGGAATGGTCATCTCATGTATTGGGATAATCTGGCATTGAGGATAATGCTTATTCACATGTTTAGTGGAAAATTGCGAATCGGCATGTGTGAACATTTTAAATACTCGTCAGAGTAAACAATATTGTTAGAGGTCATATTTTCCTAGACTTAATCAAAATGAATTAGAGGAATTATATGCCATATGTATTGATGGAGGTCTTTTGGTAGCCTAGGTTTTAAGCGGACCCCCCAGAAGTTGTTTTATGCAGAATAATGGCATGGTGATAAATATCGGCGTATAATATAATACATGACTCAAGATAACAAGTCCTTCAGCTAATTTTTTACTCCTAATAATATTATGATTCACTTTTAATTGTTTTTGACGCACTAGTGAGTGAGTGAGTGAGTGAGTGAGTGAGTGAGTGAGTGAGTGAGTGAGTGAGTGAGTGAGTGAGTGAGTGAGTGAGTGAGTGAGTGAGTGAGTGAGTGAGTGAGTGAGTGAGTGAGTGAGTGAGTGAGTGAGTGAGTGAGTGAGTGAGTGAGTGGTTCAGCTGCACTAGTTCTGTTTACACACACACACATTGATTTCTTTATCCTGCTTACCTTCAATATTCATGTTTCACAGCTGTTTTTAATAGAAGGAAGCACAGTAACCTAGTTTACCTTTGATTTCCGTGTAGATATCAAGTATCCCGTTGACTTTATAAGCATTACCTATCTCTTCAAGAAGTTGCCATATATTCTCCTTGATCACAACTGGATAATAAGCAGGAAACTGAGAGACCGAGCATAATTTCCCCCTGTGATACTTATTCTAATAGTTTACTTGAAGTTACAGTCCTTGTTAACAGCCGCTAAGATTTGAGAAATGCGTTGTCCTGATAGTATTCGACTACCAAACTCATAACTGCTTCTGTAAACGATGGGTTCATTCTTTTTGTTTTACAATCCTGGGGTTACTTCTGTGAAATGATGGACTCCTCATTCTCATCCTTTGTAAAGTTAAGAGTAGTCCTTGTGTGTAAACCGTTCATTGCGAATATACTCTTGATTGATACCTTTGATAAATAGGGTAAATATTATCACGGTGGGGCGGATTCATATAGTATACCACTCGCTTCGAATATCTTACAACTATCAGGTCGAGTACTAATCCATCGCCCTTGGCAAATTTAGTAGCAAAACATCGCGAGAATACCATCAGACCATATGACTGGCTCGGGAAATCCGTGTCAGAGTAATAAAATGCTATACAGATATGTCCGTATATGACTGATTGATTAGGCAGGCGAATTTTCCGTAGCCGGTAAACACCTTCCTACTATCTTCACTAACCAGCAATCTTCACTAGCAAACTTTTGATCGGAGACTAGTTACTAACTAGCGTCCATTGAAATTATCCAATGCAATCGCTAACCCGAATATCTCAGTGGTAACGTCTCTGGCTGACTGCAGCACTGGGTGACGCGGGTTTGAATCTCAGGAGGGACATGAGTTCCTTCAAAACAGTTTCAGATACGCCTTGCTAATAACTGGTGAGTGCCAAATAGCACGAAACCTAGGTGGAAGGCTTCCTGCCGACTGCCTTCAACTATCTAATATAACATAGCCAATCATGGTATAATACGATAATTGTGTTTCATATGAGTAGATGTAAGGATCGTAGAAGTATACCTTCCTGTGGTGTGTCTACAATAAACACTGTGTGTATTGGCGAAATAACATAAGATATGTGTATTCAAGCGAGGTGGTGACTGACTGGCATAATTCAGCACTTTGCATCTTCATTTAATGCATCGATACTCTGAAGTAATGGGCTCAGAAATACACTTTAACTCAATTGTTTGAAAGTTTGTTTTGCATCGTTCAGTATTATTGCCTACAATCGAAACATTGACTTTTTAAAGTGCTTATTGTGATAATTGTTTCTATCCTCTGAATTTTTCTTACCATTATTCTTGTCTATGTGTGTTATTCAACATTGTAGACAGATTTGGAAATATTTCATCAGCAGCCTGTATTCCAGCATCGATTACTGCATCACTTGCATCGAAATCCGCAGATTCACCATCGAAACTAACAAGTAATGGTAATAATATTTCAGTAGCAAATTGTAAAGTTGGTGATCTACTTGAAGCTCTGTATGACTGTGAAGCAGAGAATTCTGATGAGCTGACATTTTCACGTGGAGAAATAATACAAATATGTGATAAGCCAGACGATGATTGGTGGGTAAGTGAAGGGATTATAAGTTTTTTTTAAGATAAGAGTTGAAAGTCAATAGGCAGATTACTTTCTTTTGTTTCATAGTCCATCATGTCATCGTCTCTATTTTTATATTAGAGAAAAAAGAACCAAAAGCTTAGTTGAGATATTATATATATATATACATATATATATATATATATATAATATCTTTTCACCAATTCCATCCTCTAATAGCTGTACACTCGCAGTTTTATGCACATACATTCATAATACTTACAATCACTACTTAATTCAACATAGTAATAATTGGAGGTTAACGGAGTCAATAATTTTCAACTTAAAATGAAAGCTTAGAGGTATGAATATAGATTACAAGGGGCATAGAAACAAAATTACGTAGGACTAGAAAACTATGTGGTTTTTAAAGATAATGGGTGTGAATTACTGTGATTATTATTATTCTGTTGGGTACAGAGTGGAACTTAGGGCTTCAACGACACATCTCCACTTTGTTCTCTTTTCTGCTGTCCTCTTCAGCTGGGTCCACGATTCCCCATTACCTCTCATCTCCTCCATATCACCCTCGCACTGACAACCCACTCGTCGTTTCTCATTGGATTTCCACTCGACCGATGACCTGGCTCGTGATGTCATTCGACGGTCTCCTTAGCGTATGCCCACCGTATCCATCTCCATTTTCTCCTAGATATTTGTTGTACAATAGATTCCTGGTTGGTTTGTTCACTGCCAGAATTTCTTGTCACCAGTTCTTTCTGGCAGGCTGGTCATTTGATCTTTAGTAATGTGCCAGAGAAGTGGGCAGCTGTTGATAAAAGTGTGTACTTGCTTGTTGGAAACGCTCTTTGTGACGCGTAATGATCCATATAGAAGAACTGACTGAACTGAGATTGATGTTGAAAATCCGAATCTTGTTGTTTATGCTGGGGTGGATTGCAGAAGATTTCCTAACTCTGGTTTCAGGTTGGCGAGTGAGTATCTTCCCTTTGCGATTTTGCCTAACTTTGGCATCTTTATCCGTTCTGCCCGCCTGTGGTTGAAACTGCGCTTCCTAGCCAGACAAGTGAAGGAAATAACCTTTGTCAAATCTCTCCCGTTGATATTCATTGGTACTGGTTGTTGTTCCTGGTTGGGTAATTGAAGATAAAAAAAATAGCTAAAACTATGCATCCAAACAGAACTAGATCCGTGGTAAATGTAGAAGTTAGAATAGTTTCTTTTGAATACGTAACTCCGTCCCTTCCATACATATGGCGAGGATTTCTGCAGTACAAAGAAGTTGCAAATGCATCATTGTATTGATAGATTTTTGTTCACTTTGTAAATGACTCTCTCAGTGATGAGTCAGTTAAGATGTTGTGATAGGTGCTAACGTGGTGTTTAAACTAGAGTGCTTTTGATTGAACTAGTGCTTGATAGTGAGTGTACTCTAACGCGTTCTATTATTAGAATTCACTATAATTACAAATAGTGTAGTGTTCTTTTTTTTTCTTCTCATTTTCTAATGGTTTTGTTTCTGTATACCTGTATGATTTTGTTTTCGTACAATAACCAAAAAAGTTAGTGATGATGAATTATGTGTTTATTATTTTGAATGTAACCAGTTAGTTGGTACATGCGTCATCATTGATCATCTGATTACTATACACCTTGAGACTATATTATTATTATTATTGTTTCCTTTAATTCCTAGAGGAACATAGGGCTTCAGCCGTGCGTCTCCATTGAGTTCGGTTCTCTGCTAGAGTCTTTACCTGGCTCCAAGTCTCCCCACACATTTTCATCTCCTCTTCACATGACCTCCTCCAAGTCACCCTTGCACTGACGACCAACTCGCCGCTTCCCTTTCGGGTTCCACTCGAGCAATGGCTTGTCTAGTGATGTCACTTGATGGTTTCCTCAGAGTATGGCCAGCCAATCCATCTCCATTTCCTTCTGCCTATTTGTTTCACAATCGGTTCCTGGTTGGTTCGCTCATTGCCAGAGATCTCTGTTGCTGATCTTTTCTGGCCGGCCATCTGATCTTGAGTATTGAGCGAAGACAACTGTTAATGAAGGTCTGTAGTTTGTTTGAGATGCTCTTTATGACGCGCTGGCCAAGTCTCTGATCCGTATAGCAAGTAGCACTGACTTCACATTGGAGTTGAAAATCCAGGTCTTATTTTTGACGGTGAGTGCTGTTGACCTCCACACAGACTTGAGAGATTAGTGAAAGCTTGTCTTGCTTTTCCGATTCTTGCTTTGATATCCTCGTCAGTTCCGTCCACCTGTAGTTGAGACGATGCTTCTCAGGTAGGTAAAAGAGGTTGTTTCTTTCAGGTTCCTCCCATTTATGCTGATCGTTGTCTGTTGTTGTTGCTGCTGTTGCCCAGGAATCTTCATTACCTCTGTTTTCCCTATGTTCACTTGAAGGCCTAACTTCTCTGGATGCTTCTCCTGCCAACTTGTTACTTTTCACTTGCAGGAAGTCTACACCTTCCTACGTAGATGGCTGGCTTAAACTAACTGTTATAGGTTTCACTGAGCAACGAAGCCATGTTTTGGTTTGACCACCATTAGCTCATTTCCAACCTGATCCTATGTCAGCTAACATTGTCCGCCGGTCGAAGAAGGCAATGGCTAGGAATGCGTAACATGTCTCAATCTATGTAACTTCACCACCTCACCTATTGACTTCCTCTTCTTACCTTAAACTCGACGCCTAACTTCAACTTTATTCGCCCTATTATACCACCTGACACAGGAAACAGAACGCAGATACCCATAGTCAAAGACAACTAGTCTTTCCATGTCTTCCACTTTTAATGACCACGTCTCACAGCCATAAAGGAGAACGAAACGAACGTGCTTTGTTCGATAGCCAGTCGGATATGAGAAATTGTAAACTTTTACAATTTCTCATTTATTTCCATTTTGATAGTTTGTTTTTCTTATGACATTTGGACACTTCTAAGTACATTGCACTATTATTATTATTGCTATCACGTTCGTTTCCTCTTTTAGAATCCCACTATAGAATATTTTCATAACTCTCCTTATCATTAGTCACATTATAAGAAATCACTTTCTAAATAATCAAAATTGTTTGTTTCGGCTTTTTTCATATGTGTGTTTGTGTGAAATTTATGTAAATATTTTTTTTGGTTCAATTGGTTGTTTGTGTCACTGAATCCTCTATCTCTCTCTCTCTTTTATTATAATTCCATTATGAAAAGTTGTGGTCTCATATCAAAATGTATGTAATCACGTTTCATACATGTATGCCTGTGCTTATGCCTTGTATACTGAAGAGGTTGATAAAATGGCATAGTCTGTATAATTTATTCTTAGTTCAATGTGTTCCATTTACGTTTTCATTTTCTTCACATAGTAGTACTATGACAAAGTCATATTTCGTGGTGAGTGTTCATTCCTAGTGTGCACACAAGCCTGGCAAAGTTAAACTATCATAACCGTAACCGCAGTGACCTTGAACGACCAATCCGAATTCAGGTGAAAAAAAGTGACATAATCGTTGAAAAATATACTAAAAAATATTTCAAACATACTATGATTACACTGTATACTTATAGCTTATGTCTTGTTAGAATGTCTCCCAGTGAATATACAGATGATCTATGCAGGAATCGTACCATGCTCGACATACCCATTCATCCAGGTGACTGTGGGTCATGGTACTTTAAGATCCATTGATACTTCTGACACTATTCCCCAACCTACTCCTTACTTTAATCCTAAACCACCTTAATCTTGAAAGCCACAACCCTACCTAACAGTATAGATCTGCAGGAAAATTACCTAGTAAATAAGTAGAATACTGTATTTATCCTCTCCAAGTTCAAAAAAGCATACATAATATGATTCGGAATGACATTTCATAGCATTCCGTGTGTCTGGTCGGTTTTCGAAGGTCAACTTTTCGGTGACCTTGACTTTTGGCTATGATACTTTAACTTCGCCCCATAAACCTTTATAGTATTATCGAAAATAGTCGTCGTTGGTTTGCAATCATTTCAATATATCTATATGGAAAAATTCTATTTCTTAAGTTATTTATAAAAATTTCTTCTCTGATAAAGCTGTGTGTGATGTGATAAAATACACTCATCACCTTTGTTATGGACACTTCGTAGATACATATGAGATTAAAAGGTTCATGTATCTATTCCAACAGTCTTACTGAATTTTTTTTGGTTTAAATTCTCATTTCGTTATGTCAACTGATATCTTTTATGCGTGTCGGTATGTCTATGCATATTTCAGTCTTAGTCACTCATCGTCTGGTTTATTCATTATATTGATTTTTCTGACACAGTCCAATCATTTGCGATCTGGAAAAAAAGAAACTGACGAATCAATGCCAATCTTCAAATGTTGGTTTAGAGCGATCTGATTGGTTTCGGTATTGATCACAAACTGATTTCTTATTTCAGACTATTCAGGAGTTACGCACCCATGACACACACCATTATGGATCGAACCTAGTTCGTTGACTATTCACCCACTAGGACGCAATTCACTGACCTCTGAATTCTGACTTCTACTATTTCGCGATATATAGCGCAACTAGCAGTCAGTGTTTTGTCGGCGGGTATTTGACCCCACTGTTCATGACTTCTCACCAGAACTTCAAACGATTTCCTCCTTGTATTCAGTCAATGAGTCCCAAGCTAGGGCGAAACAACTCGCTGATACTCCCTGGTTTTCAATGGTCCCCTAACTGACGTGTCAGTTTGTGATCAGTCTTAGCATGCATGTGACATTGAATGCATAAAATTTGATGGTTGTCTACCAAGCTACTCTGCCTACATATGTAAGTAGTATGTCTACACTAGTTTAAAAATACTAGTATCTTTATTCATTATTGTGCGTCGGTGGCATAGCGGTTAGGACGCTCGCCGACCAGGCACATGGTCCGGGGTTTGATCAACGGCCGATGCACTCCTTTACCTCGCTAAACCAGAGATAATGCTGGTAGGAGGAAAGGTTGGGCATGAAGCTAGCAACCCCATCCTGTAAAGTGAACAATGCTACAGAAACTTCAAGCCTCTAGCTTGAAGCCCTATGTTCCAGTGGGGAACGCTACGGAAAAATACATAAAAATTTACTCATTATACGTAAAATTAGTTTCACATAATTTTAGCCGGGGGAGATATGTGTATGTGTATATGCGGATGATATCACGAATATTCACTGAGGTTGAGAGATCAAAATATCGGTTGTAATTTCGATTATTAAGATTGTAATCGATTGATTTTTCAACTTGAAAATGTTGAGAGACTCAAGTGAATATTTTGGATGCATATAACGCTATAATACCCCTGTGATTCATTGATGACATGGTTAGTTGGACAGTAGTCATATCAACGAATAATGCTTCCAAGCCAGGTTGAATTGATTGGAACATTGAATTAAGTGAATAATTGTTGGTTTCAATTAGCTCTTCTTTAGGCTATTAAGTGACCCAAGCAAAATGACTCAATGGGGGACGATAGCAGAGAATGTGGATATTGTAGTGGTGATTACAGTATACCGGAAGATTATTATTACAATATCATCCATCACATTATGTAAAGTATTTTTCAACATTCACTGACCATTATTCACTTTTATTATATTACTATGCATTGTAGATGTTTTGTTATGCTTTGAAGTCACACTGTCTTTTATAGAGGCTGTCATCCGTGATCTACATAATTGTACGACTTTACACATTCTTATTTAATAAATTACTTTGATTAGCAGATATTTAATGTTTGTATGAAGAGCTTTCGATACTAGAGGGTTGGAGGCAATCGGCAGGAAGCCTTCCACCTAGGTTCCGTGCTAGTTGGCACTCACCAGTTGTTAGCAAGGGGTATCTGCAACTACCTTGAAGGAACTCAAATTTCCTGTCTGAGATGGGAACCCGCATCACCCACTACACACCGCACTACTTACTAACTAGTGTCCAGTCAAAGTATCCAATACAATCCTACAGGAGGTCAATTGGGAACCTGAAAAGCTCACTGGTAACGTCTCTGACTGACCGCAGCACTGGGTGATGCGGGTTCCCATCTCAGACAGGAAATATGAGTTCCTTCAAGGTAGTTGCAGATACGCCTTGCTAACAACTGGTGAGTGCCAAATAGCACGAAACCTGGGTGGAAGGCTTTCCTAGGGCCGATTGCCTCCAACCATCTAATACCAACAGTTCACAGTTCATCGTGATGGCGAGCCACCTAGCATGGTGGCCATATTGTAAACTTGACTGATAGAATTCACTCTGCACCAAAGATAGGACTAGACACTCGCATTACACCAGTTACTGACTAGTGTCCAATCAAAAGGAAGAATTTTCTATGTTAGTGGGCTTTGAAACATCACTGTAGCGCGTGTACTTGTGTTGTTTTAAAATATGCGCAGAAACAATTATTGTCTAGTGTCGAAATAAACAAATAGAAATCGACACAAATAACTGTATAACAGATTATAAGTATAAAACTTGTGCACTGTGGTAGAGTGTAATTCCATTATGGGTAAATTTTGTTTTGATAAAGTCTCACAGTATTATACAGTAATGTTTACTGATGACGTTTCGAGCACAATTTATTGCTCATAATCATATCATATGATTATTTTGGTGGATGTTGGCTAACAGTGGGACCCGTCATGCGCATCTTGTGCTGTTCAGGTTGTTCCTGCGATCCCCCAGTGAGCAGTTGTGTTCCTACTGAAACTCAAAAGCAACACCCACCGTCTCATGTTCCAAAGTGTGACGCGCTAGGCAAAGAGAGCCAAATGCTTTGGCGTTTGGAGCGATAGGTATTCGGTTCGAGTTTCATTGGTGACACCATCACTCCCCAGGGAGTCGCGTAAGTTATAATAATTATAGAATAATAATAAGCAAATAGAATATCAAATAAAATTAAGGAAATCTCTACAAAAAATTAAGGATTATAGAACCTTGATAGCCTATGGGGGTAGGGAAAGCGTCTGAACCAACTTCTTTTGGATATATACATAAGCAAGGTTTCTTAATATAGATTCCGACTGCTTCAGCAATATACAATAGACAAACTCTTGAGGTAAAATCGAGATTAGTTTGCATATGGTAGATGACTTTGAGAGCTGCCTCGTTAACATCAATCTTGTGTTCTGTATCCACGAGATGAGACAGCATAGAACTGTGAATGGACTTTGTTTGTCCCTTGCTTAACCACACCGGATGGTGTTCGGAAACCCGAAGATAAACACGCCTAACTGTACGGCCTATGCAACTAACTGGCTCAATCCACAGGAGCAGTCAGATTGGTAGATACACAGAAGAGGCGAAATTAAGTAGTTTATCTCTAACTCTCGAAGCAGAATAGGAGTGGTTTCCAAGACATAGCACACTTCGGCAGCATTGAATGCTCTTCATTTTACCTTAGGCGTTGTGTTAACATCTCTTTGATGTTATCCTCGAGGAGGTGAAGTTGTAAGAATAAGGCCTTCCTGTTTTGGAACTGTTGGTACTTTGATCTGTCTTGATTTTTTATTCAATATTCCTTTTGATGAATTTTTCTGGATAACCGCTTTCACTGAGCAACTGTTTAATAATAATAATAAGCTCTTCATTAAAACATTCATCAGAGCACAGATTGCTGTTGCTTTGCAGACACCAAGCACTTCATCAGATTGCCTTTGTATTTCAAGGGTACGAAGCTGAAAAAATGAGTATACTGACCAGTTGATGTAAGTTTTCTGTATACACTCCTTCTTATTGTACCATCCTGTTCTCTAGTCGTAAGGACGTCTAAAAATGAAATACTAGAGTCTCTTTCTTTCTCGATGGTAAAATTTATTGCAGGATGAACATCGTTAAATTTGTCAACACGGATGTTCTTTGCTTCATCTCCACTTTTCGTAATCAAAAATGTATCATCCCATGTAACGACAGTAGAATTCTAGTTCATCAGTCACATCTTTCAAGGGCCCATTCTCTAGTTTTGCAAGGAAAATATCGGCTGAAATGGGTCCTGGTGGTGACCACATTGCCACACTATCAATTTGTTCGTATAATTTCTTATTATAAATACAAAGTGGACATTCATTCATTTTGCATTTCAAGAGAAGCTCTTTTTTTGTTATAAAAACGATATATGAAATGAGAGATTAGCGCGCTTTGTTAATTTGATTTTTTTCTTTCTTTCTTCTCACCTTCAAATTGTTTTCTTTAGGAAGGTGTTATTCACTCGGATAAAAATCGACGTGGAATGTTCCCAGTCACTTATGTAAAACCTTATCATAACAGCAATGATAATGATTGAAATATATATATATATATATATATATATATATATTGTATACAATTAACTAACTAACTAACGAAAGCTTATTCTCTTTGCATCTCTAATATTTACCGTGACCTTTATTACCACCTACATTTTTCGATGAACTACAATAATAACAATAATAATATTCAGTTTTATCTCTTTATTTATATGTTTTTATATAGCTCTTTTGCTTTTATTGATTTATTTGATTTGTTTTGCTTATTTCGGAAAAATGCAAACTTTTATTTAATTTGCCTAACCTTTCCTTGATTGGTGTGTACTTAGAGGAAGAAGAAGCCAAAGAAGAGTACTCTCTTCGTTTTGTTTTTTTCTTTTGTTTTAATTTCTTGATTTTCCACAACCACAATCCACCATCTCTCCTCCAGATATCATCGACCAAAAGAAGATAAAAACCCTAGTTACTACTACTTACTTGGACCACACACAGATTTGTGTGTTAAGTAAGGCAATCAACATGTTCTTTCTTATCGATTATTTTATGGTACTCTAGTACTAATACTAATGCCACTACTGCTGATTTTATTATGTTGTTTTATTCCACTCTTAACACAACATCTGTATATAGAGTGCTGCAATACTGATGTGTGTATGTGTTTGTGTGTACGTATGTTTGCTTTGGTAGTGAGGTGTTGTAAACAAGACGTGTTTTGTAAATAATAATAAACATTATTGAGATATGCATAGAATTATACCCTACCATTACAACTGTTCTTGAGGCATATTATTAGCAAGCAATAATAATAAGTGTTGTTAATATTGGCTATTTTCAAATATATGATGAGATTGTCTTCATCTTCTCACTTGATTCTGTTCATCTAGCTTTCTTTATAATGTTAATAAAGGTGAATAAGTAAAGTATATTGAGTATTATTCGTTCTCTATTGTTATCCTTCTACTTTCGATGATCAATAACTGTTTTAAACATCCCGGCTATTCAGTACTGTACGCTTATTCGTCCGTCTAACCACTGTGTATAGATCTATATATATATATATATATATATATATATTGATTGTATTTCCTCTGGGTTCCCCCCTCTCTATCTCTCTGTCTCCTTCACCAATAAACATTGCACAGGTATATTTCTTTGCATTACAATCGGACCAAACAGTTGCCACTACTATGCTGTTTAGATTATACACCATTTTATACTTTTATCTTTTTAACTCAGTTTAATCTTCTTTAGTTTCTATTATTTGAGTAGTATTCATTATTATTAGTAGTAGTAGTATGTATATGTACATCTTTTGATGATGGTTGCCTTCACTCACTTCTAGTCTAATTGTTATTGTTATTTGTATTACTTGATTACACAACAACAACAACAACTGATGGAAAACTCTACTGTTGTTTTGATCTCCCCCCCCCCGCCTCCTATCTCTCTCACCCGCCCCCTCTTTGCATATGTAAATTATTTTTTTTTAATCTTTGTTGGCTTCATTGTAAACTTCTTTTCATTTATTTATTTAATTTTAATATGGATATTATTGATCATAACATTTTCTATTCGTATACTATTCACTATAATATTATTGTTGCTGCTAATACTGCCATTATTATTATTATTATTACTGCTACTAAAACTACTTTCGGTGGTTTTCAGTATCATGATTTCAGTTTTCGTATTTTATATCTTCTGTAATGTTGTGAATTTAAATAGCTAGCTATGCAGGAAGAAAATAAACACATATTGGCGTTAGAAAGGAATATTCATACACGGAAAACAAAAGAGACACACACACACACAGAGAATCATCTGATGTCATTATTGTTTATTATTATTGTTATTATTATTACTATGATTAATTTGTTCCATTGTATCGTGATTTTCCATTGTTAAAAGTCTTCATTTTTGATTTAGTGATATATATATATGTATATCTTCTGAGGTCATTTCTTCTTCCCCCATGTCTTGTTGTTACCAACTGACTAGTTGTTGAAATTTCGCGTATGCCAGTTTACGCTGTCTCTGGCGTAGACGTGATATCCGACTATCGACCAAAGGGCGTGTGTACTGCTCAACAGTCCGCTCCGTCCTCCTTTATGGCTGTGAGCGAGACCTGGCCATTTAGAGCGGAAGACATGAAAAGATTAGCTGTCTTCGATCATAGGTGTCTGTGTTCTATCTCCCGCGTGAAGTGGTATAATAAGGTGAGCAATATTGAGGTTAGGCGTCGAGTGCTAGGTAAGGCGGGGAAATCAATCGACGAAACGGTGAAACTACTTCGACTGAGATGGTTAGGACATGTGCTACGTATGTCTAGTCATCGCCTTCCTCGACGAGCAATGTTAGCTGATATAGGGCCAGGCTGGAAAAGAGCTAGCGGCGGTCGGACGAAAACATGGCACCAGTCAATGAAATCTACAACAGTTAGTCTAAGCCACGTAGGAAGGAGTATACTTCCTGACTGGTTGGGGTCCTCGGGACGGTAAAAACCAATGGCTGGAAACAATTGGTGACATGGCTCAAAATCGTTCTCAGTGGCGCAGATGCATCCACTTCTTGTGACTTATGATTTCCAATTAAAATGTTTTGTTCCTCGTTATTACTATTCCTTTGTCTCACACCTCTGTTTATACTGTCTATACTATGCATTTCTTCTCTTGCTTTGTGTGCTACATGGAGTATGGCGACTTGAACTGCTGTACATCAGTGCAAAGTTCTATGTTGAAAACAGACACAGCTGTTGAAAACTGAAGAGTTTAAAAATAAGACTGGAGAGGTAGAGGTGATGTGCTCACCTGCTCACTTTGTTTTTACTTACGCAACTTGAATACAAACAACAAGTTAATTGTAGGAGGTGTCTGAGGCTGACGTGGAGGTGGGTAAAAGCTTACCTGGGAATTGTGGAGTTCAGGTAAAAGGGGCTGCAGAGTACAGGATGAAATAGAGATGTTCTGTTGAATCCCTCTTTTCCACTAGGATCTCAAGGGGATAATGATAATAATAATTATTATTATTGTGATACAATATGACCTTTGTCTCCAATAGTATCAATTGGTATTGTATCATGTTAGTAGATATGAAAGAACTGTACTCGCTCGCCATGTCTGTCTTGCTGTAGTGATTCAAGATCAACGCAATTATGCAGTGATATATAACGTGTAGTTGATAGACGTCCGAAGGTGATATTGATATGTAAGATTTCCAGTTTTGAGAGTAAAAAGTTTATATCATCTTTAAGGCGGCTGAGCACCGAATGGTTCTATGTAGTCGAATGATCGGCCATGGTTCGAACCCCTGTGGATGCGTACTGATGAAGAGTCCCAAACTAGGCTGACAAAACAGCTGTCCAGTACTCCCAGCTGGTTTCCCAATGGTTCTCTAACCGATGTCAGCTCATGATGAAATCCTGTAACCAGTCAAATCACATCCCTACAAGCAACACTTGAATATAAAGATAGATTGACCATCATGGCGAACAGTCATCTGATTAATCTGCTTTTACGCGATGCAGTTGTTCCTCACAAAAGTGAAAGAGTGAGTGTGGACTTCTGGACTGGTGACACATCCAAGTCTACCTAGGGAACCTGAGAAAACCTGATTTCAAACCTATGCTGTACATGTTTTCCAGAATCCTAAAGGATCGAATAGCGTAGGAACCTGTTTCCGTCGCCGGAAATCATGAGAGCGTAGCTCCTGACCCTTGTCCACTCTCTTTGTGAATTAGACTTCAAGTCAGAGGCACAGATGCATTTGCGGGGGGAGGCCTTCAAGAGAACTGCGTGCTTCAGAATGGACGTCTGGCCAGTATCTTAGTACTTGCGTGGCGCATCTCTTGGTGCTCATAATGTACGAAATTTGTGTTCTTATAATAATAAGAAGTAGAATCAAACAACAAAGAAATCGTTCCTGCAATAAATGTGTATCAGAAAACCACCATGTACTAGCTTAAGTAGGCTGCTTGAATATTTGTAACTAAGTATGATTTTCAGACTGATTATGCACACACACATGTATAACGCATCAGCTGTATCCATATATAAAAGTAGGAAAGAGACGAAATTCGTCTTCTGATTTGCCTAGTTGGACTGGTAAATGTCGGAAGTTAAACATACTTTAAAGCAATATTCAGTAGCTAGTATTACGTTAAAGCGAGTGTAGAATCAAACCTGTGGTGAACAGATGGATGATGTTAGTTCAATATTTAAAAAAAAAGCATATTTATGTCAGTATTATAACAACTTTACTTTTAAAACTGAACATCAGGTTGCTTCATAAAAATTAGAGTGAAATTTCGATGCATTTAAGCAGAGGAATCAGTGTTCACCAAGGTAGTAAGTAATAAGGGTTAGAAATGATCTCCTTTTGGACACATTATTCACACTTAGTTCTTGAGATCCTTATAGTCCCATCCATTCGAATTCAGCTACCTGGGACAGGTTCAAGTCTGTGGGTTACACATGGTAAGAGGTCTGATGATACTACCAATTCGTTTAGGCTGAAGTAGATAGAGTTGCATTCGACCGGTTGTTGGATTGGCTAAAACAGTAAGCTTCGAAGGAGGCTTAAAAAGGGCACTATATCATAGAGCAGAAAAGCTCTGCTTTAGAGAAACATTAAGAAAAGAAGTCGATTTTATCAACAGATGTCTAAGAAATAACAAATATCCAAAATGATTTGAAGTGATTTAAGGGCAGCAGGAAGAAACCGAAGTTCCTCATACTAGGAAATAAATATAATGAGATAGGACTCTAATAAAGGGATCAATTTCGAGGACATAACCAGCTGTCAAACTAGTCCTCCTGTATAAAACAACGTTTTTTCAAATTAGAGCAGTCTCTGATTCTCGTTACTTCAAACTGCGTTTCTGAATTCTCATACACATGCAGTATCAAGCACATAGAGGAGAATAAGAAGACGATTGCTATGATGATGATTGTTGAACAAGTACTGAAGAATTTACATTTTAGAGGTTCAACTTCCTATAACAGACTGATATTTATTACTTACTGAGAGAGAAAGCCGCTTCGGACGCTTCAGCAGTATGCACGCATCAGGGTTCGAACTCAGGAACTTCAGGCTACAAGACAAGTGCATAAATCATCTATTCACAGTGGTGCAAAACAAATTCTTTCATAGGGATTTCGAATCATTCACTCTACGCATTTGTTCCTCTCATTCGTTATATAAAAGTTCCAAATTACAAATATTATTATTTTTTTTATAAACCACTCGATAAATGTATCGACACGCTTACACATATATCTGTCTACAAATGCCTGAAATATTGTACGTGTTAGAGAAAGACACCTGGAGGTATGATTCACAGTGTACAAAATTAAGCATTAAGAGAAATCGCATCATAACTCCATTATGGATATGATTTTATTTTGATAAATCACACAGTGCTGTACAGTAATATTAACTGATGACGTTTCGAGCACAAATTATCACTCAAAATCATATCAAATCGCATCATAAACCGTTCCACAATGAGATTTGAATAAATCGATTCAAAATCGAAGGTGTTCCGTAGTGTCCTCAAACAAAGTGTAATAACACGTAGGTCTGTAACTACACTACACTACATTGAAGGTAAAGCATTTCTAGGACCACACTGTCAATATTAATCCTGGTTGTCTGATTTTATGGTGACTCACATTTCAAATGTGTTAATTACTGCGCATTCTAAATATCACACAGCTTTTATCCGTTTATGTATTGTGGTTGTCACAATTGATTGATGTGATTTCTTTCTTTACATTTACCTCAGCTGATGGCGTGAATTATATCATTAAGATTGTGGTGTTCCAATGTACTCATGAAGTATTGTTCGATTTCAAGTACATTGTGTGTAACCTGATTCGAAATTGATAATTCGGTTTCTGGATGTCATTCCATTCCATGCATTTCTGCATAATTTTTGCATGTATATACATATAAATAACATGTGATAAAAGAAACACCATCAATCTGAAATCTTCTGCCCTCCGCAGCACAAACAACAAGATACGGATTCCTAATATCAATGTCAAATCAGCCAATTCTTCTATATAGGTCATAAACTTGTACTGTGCGTCACGAAAAGCATTTCCAACAGACCAGTGGAAACTTTTATCAGCAGCTGCCCACTTCACTGGCTCCAAACTGAAGATCAAATGACCGGCCGGCCCTCCAGAAAGAATGAGTAACAATAAACTCTGGCAACAAATCAACCAAGAATCTATCGTTCAACAAATATCTAGGAGAAAATGGAGATGGATACGCTGGGCATACGCTGAGGACATCGTCGAATGACATGGCGCACAATGCAAGCCATCGCTCTAGTGGAAGGTGAATGGGAAACGACGAGTGGGGTGTTGGTCCGAGGGTGATGTGGTGAGGAGGAGATGAGAGGTTATGGGGAACCTTGGACCCAGCTGAAAAGGACGGCAGCCATATGTTCCACTCGGAATCCAAGGGAACAATAAAAACAACTGAAAACCAGGAAGTATTGGGCTGCTGTTTCATTCTAGTTTGGGAATCATCGGCATTACGCACCCGCTGGAGTTCGAACCAAGCACCTTCCGGTTTCAAGGCAAGCTCGTATACCATTCAGCCACTGGGACCCGATTCAGCGGCTCACGAATTCCAACTTCTACCAATTCATGATTTAGCAGGACCACCAACCAATGTCATCGGCGGGATGAAACAGCTGTCCAGTACTCCCTGCTGGTTTTCAATGATTGTCTAACTGATATCAATCCGTGGTCAAACTCGTAAAAACAAATCTAATCCTTACACACCAACTCTTGAAAAATAATAGCAATATTAATTAATGCAATAAAAGATCTGGAGTATGTACTTCTGAGA